GAACCAGAATCCGTCCCAATATAGGAGTTGAATAAGAATCCGTCCCAATATTGGAGTTGAATCAGAATCCGTCCCAATATTGGAGTTCAATCATTATCCGTCCAAATATTGGAGTTCAACCAGTTTCTGTCCCAATATTGGAGTTCACCCAGTTTCCGTCCAAATATTGGAGTTCACCAATGTATCCGTCCCAATATTGGAGTTCAATTAGTATCCGTCCAAATATTAGAGTTCAATGAGAATTCGTCCAAATATTGGAGTTTAACCAGCATCTGTCCCAAAACTGGAGTTTATTCAATATCCGTCACTAGTATTCGTCCCAAGACTTGAGTTCAACAAGTATTCGTTTCAATATTGGAGTTCAACCAGTATCAGTCCTAATACTGGAGTTAAACCAGTATCCGTCTTAATACTGGAGTTAAACCAGTATCCGTCCATAATTCTGCAGTTCAACTAGTATCCGTCCTACTGCCGGAGCTCAACCAGTATCCGTCCGTACTTAAATTTTTAATACTACAGATAATTCATCCTTTGTCTGCATCAATTCTCTGGATTTCCATCTTAACTCTGCAGTTCTCCTGGTTTTCACTAGTATCGAACCTATCCATGCACATTTTTTAGTTTTAGTCCCTAGCTCAAGGTTGCCCTGGCAACTGAATTAAACTTTTCTAGTTTGTGTTTCGGTTATTTATTTTACTATTTTCAGTCAAAAGTTAAAAGCTTAGTCATTTCATTAAACTGCCCCCCCNTTCTAAACCTCTACCCCGGGTTCGGAATCGAGGATCATTAAAGAGATTGATACCTAATGGTTTGAGGGAAATTCTTTTAATGGTTTTATATTTGAATCCCCCCCTTGTATTATTTAGTGTTGAATCAGCAAACAATCCTGGAAATATTCAGGAAAAGAAAGAAAATAAATGTAAAAGTTAGTGCGGAGACTTCTCCGAGAAAGGCAGGAGAAATAAAATACAGAGAGAGTTAGATTCAGCATTTTCTTCATGGAGATAGAAACACCAAAGATGGAGCTTAGAATCAAGAAAGGATATGGCAAGGATTTCTACAGAGATAAAATATAAAAAAAATTACAAGACTAGGCCACGGTTTTTAAATCGGGTTGCCTTTTCTGAGTCGGCCTAACTCTCCTGCATAAACGAAATTGAGCTTACTAAAAGAAAGGATGACAAAATATAATAAGAAAAGTAAAAGATGAATTTGAAAAAAATACGTTTGGATGATAAAGAAAGTTTAAGAGAAAGAACCAAGAAATAATTTTAAAAAAGCTGATGTAAGGAAGAGAAAAGGAGGAATAGAACGATATAAAATTAAAGTGGATAGAATCCCTCCAAAGGAATTAGGGGGGATACAGCTTCGAATAAACATGAGCTGAGCCAAGATCTCAAATTATTTAGAAGTAAGGTTTCGGAAAATATAATGAAGTAATTTCTTTTTTTAAAATACCTAGGGATTTAAAAAGATTTAGTTTGATTTATGTAATAAAGGGCTGGAAAGGCCAGGTATTGGAGATTTCAGTTTCAGAAATATTTTGAGAACAAAACTAAAAGTTTATGTGAATTAGTTTGATTTGGTCCGAATTACAGGCTGGGTGGTTGGTTTTGGTTTGTACCAGAGGGTTTATTGTTTTACTTTAACACGGAGTGAGTTAGTTTTGGTTGATTTCTAGAAAAAAAAGGATTGAAAGGAAATTCAGGAGTTTGGTTTAATATAATCTTGAAAGTTGAGAGTAAATCTGGGACTAAATATATATTGTTGAACACAGAGATGAAATTTGGTTAATCTGAAAAAAAAGATTCAATCTTTTCGGTTTTTACTTCTTCTTCCTGGAAAATGGAGATAGAATCCGAAAGTTTTATTTTGGTTTTGTCTGAAATAAAGAGAGAAAATCCAAGAATCTGGGATTGTTGGTTTGGTTTTGCATAGAAATAAATTGTAAATCCAGGAGTTTTGGTTGGTTCGGGAAATGGAGAGTAACTCCGTGAGTTTAGTTCGGTTTAATCTAAAAGGATAAAGAGTAAATTTATGAGTTTGGTTTGGCTTAGTCTTAAAGAATAAATAGTAAATCCACTAGTTTGGTTTGGCTTAGTCTTAAAGAATAAATAGTAAATCCACTAGTTTGGTAGAATTTTCATTTTAGAACAGATATTTTTTTTTTTATTCTCCAAAGTTTTATATTACATTTTCTCTTTTCATCTTCATCTAATAAACGGAATGATTTTTCAAATTAAAAGATTTATTAAAAAATAGAAAAATTCTATTTGATCAAATAGAATAAAAGTAATATTAAAGAAGAGGTATGGAGCGTGTGGAGGGTATCGAAGATGATGCATTAGTACATGCATTAGTACATGTTTGATAATATTAAGAATTTGGCTGAAATCCCGGTGGTTTTGTATTGTATATCTAAACTTGTGTCTGCAACAGAGATTTAGGATAAGCAATACATGCTATTAATATAATTCAGAATTGTATTTACAGAAAGCAATACATGCTATTATTATAATTCAGAATTGTATTTACAGAAAGCAATACATGCTATTATTATAATTCAGAATTGTATTTACAGAAAGCAATACATGCTATTAATATAAGTCTGTATTATATTAATATTCTCTGAAGATATCAGTATATTCTGTATTATTTCCTTAAATCTATGCATAGAATAAACGCACTGTGAACTAGACAAAAGGAAAAAGTCAAATTTATGTGATATCGTATCTTTACTTGGTTTTACGTACAAGCAAATCTATCCGTTACATATTAGAAATTCACAACAATTTGTTCTTAATCAAAGCTCTTTAATAACAGGAGTTATTATTGAAAACATGTCAAATTCCTATCGTATGTCTAATTATTTACACTTTTAAATTTGAAATTATTTTAAATCAAAAAGAAAAATAATTTATTTTAACTGTGGCAAAACTATATTTCAAACTCCACCATCCCCTGAAGATATGAGAAAATATTTCATATTGAAAAAAAGATTCAAAAATAGTTTTATTTAATAGTTGATGGTTGAAGATTTCTTGAAGAATTGTTGGAGTAAAGTAAACAGTAGATAGATGGAGTAGATAAATGGTTTGAGTGAATCTGAATCCAGGGTTTAGTTTTAGAATATATTTCTCTGAGTGGTAGGATCAGTAGGATTAGAGCAACAAGATAACCCAGAGTAGTTAGACTTCATTAAACATCTATCAATAATTTTCTTATCTTTTCTTTTCAGAAATTTTATTAGATTTTCTCAACTCACATCTTTTTATTTATAGTTCTCTTCTCATTCTGATTTCTCTCCCTTCTCTCCCATCTCTCCCTTCTCTCCCTTCTCTCCCTTCTCTCCTTTCTCTCCTTTCTCTCCCTTCTCTCCTTTCTCTCCCTTCTCTTCCTTCTCTCCCTTTTCTCTCTTCTCTCACTTCTCTTCCTTCTCTTCCTTCTCTCCCTTCTTTCCCTTTTCTCCCTTCTCTACCTTATCTCCCTTTTCTCCCTTCTCTCCCTTCTCTCCTTTCTCTCCCTTCTCTTCTATTCCCTCCCTTCTCTTCTATTCCCTCCCTTATCTCCCTTCTCTCCCTACTCTCATATTCCCTCTCTTATCTTCCTTCTCTCCCTTTTTTCCCTTTTCTCCCTTCTCTCCCTTCTCTTTCTCTACCTTCTCTCCCTTCTTTCCCTTTTCTCCCTTATCTCCCTTCTCTCCCTACTCTCATATTCTCTTAGAATATTCATACTCTGATGAGGGCTTAGGGAAATTACTAAAAGTTGACAATAACCAGAGTTCCAGAGTACAGGGTTCCGGAGTACAGGGTTCCGGTTCCGGAGTACAGGGTTCCGGTTCCAGAGTACAGGGTTCCGGTTCTGGAGTACAGGGTTCCATAGATTAAGAGTTCCGGAGTACAGGGTTCTGGACTACATGGTTGCGAAATACAGGGTTCCTGAAATTCAGAGTATCGAAGCACAGGTTTTGGAGTACAGGGTCCAGGAGATTCAGAGTTCCGGAGTGCAAGATTCCAGAGTAAAGGATTCCGGAGATTCAGGGTTCCGAAGTAAAGGGTTACGAAGTACAGAGTTTAGGAGATACAGGATTCCGGAGTAAATGGTTCCGGAGATACAGGGTTCCGGAGTACAGGGTTCCGGAGATACAGGGCCCCGGAGTACAGGGTTTCAAAGTAAGGCTTTCAAAGTATAGTGTTCCGGAAAATAGGGATCTGGGATTACTTTTTTTCCGGAGATAAAGAGTTCCGAAAAGAAAGGTTTCCGAAGATATAGAGTTTCCGGAGAGGAGAAAAAACATGTTGCATGATATGATATTAGATGATTGATAAAAACAAAAATGCAATCTGTCAAACGCATTTCTCAAGTCCAAACGCACCGTTGCCAAACATTACTGTTTAAAGGAGTTTATTATCATGTTCATTCTATAAATGAGTTGTAATTGAATATCTAATGACCAGCATTGTTTTTGAAGATAAATGTTATCTTAGACTGGTGTGTCTATGAATTGTAAATGCACTTAAGATGGGGGATTTGATTTTTTTCCCTTTTGATCTCATTTCTTTTTTTAACCTATTTTCCACTTGTGTCAACAAGGTAAAACCAATCTACAATCTACAGGTATTGATCTAAGAAAGAGTACTATTTTGTAGAACCTTTTTTTCTGTCAAACTACTGTTACCTAAAATGCACAAATGTGGGTGAAAATAAAATAATAAGAGAGGTGATTAATGGGAAAATGCATCATAAACTTGGGTTCATTGATTTATATACTAATCATATGACTCTAGGGGCTTCTCTACATTACAGAAGCTCCGCTCCCCCCTTCTCCTCCTCCTCCTCTCTTTATCCCGTGACCTTCTCTGACTACCAGGCCTGTGACGTCAGGCCTGTGCCCACTCCAAAATTCTGGTTTATGGGTAGAGGATCAATAGCTCGGGTTCCCCATGCTCTGGTCTCCCCGGGCTCCCGATCTCTCAGCCTCCGAAGAGAATCCACACTCGTCTCGGACTAACCAACGGAGAATCCCCAGTCTTCCGTCCCTCCAATCCCCGAACTATTTACACCTGATCTCAGGGTCTAGTAAAGGATTGAACCGGAGCTGAGGATCAGGTTCAATGAGAACCTGGAGATGTATATAGGTTAAAGAGAGGGAAGGTAAGAGAAGATCGTCCAATTCATCATCGTCACCCATTCCAAAGCATCAGACTGTGATTTTAAGATTTAAAATAGAGCTAAAGTAAATAACATGGTTCAGGTTAGATTTAGGGGTATTAGTGTATAATTAAAAATGGTTGTCAGATTGAAAAAAATCAAGATATCAAAATTTAGCATGTGCTGATCACGTGATCGGCCGCCATCTTGTGTGGATGGGCACCCATTCTGCGGAGGATGGGGGGAAGTCTTGTGACTAGATCAGCTGACCTCTGTATTACACAACCCAAACTTTGTTCTAAGTATAATCCTTCGAAACCTAAAGTATTCTCGTCGATTATTCGTAGATTTCTTCCTGTATTCCTAGTCTCAAGGTAAACAAGCGAACTCACAACAATTATTTTAGCTTTGAAAAACAAGCATTTTAAACTTAGTTTTATTTGGCTTTTTTGGGGGTAGCGCATAAAATAATTCACATAGAAAGCTATTTTTCTCGACGATATTTTTTTTGTCTTTGGAGAATTGGAGTTGTAAAAGAAATGGGGTTTTCACTCGAAATTTCATTTTAAAAAATGTTGAAATTTGTTTCGACTTTTTTAAAGCAAAGCTTAAAACAAAAAGGAAGTTATTGATCTCTTTTTTTGTAATATAATTTTAAAAATAAAAAAAATTATTCCATTCGTCTGTAATCGAAAAATACTTTCTTACCACAAGTAAAAAAATCTGAATATTAAGATTTGAAATCAGGATTATGGTGGCCCGAACTTATATTCCTGTAAAGGAATTGAGTATTTGCCCTAAACTCTGATTTTCTAATCCCTGCATCTTTACAAACCAATGTCGTAGACCTTAAATATTTTAAACAAGAAGTTCTGTGAGATAAATTAATCTCAGTTTGAAATATTAAAGGTTTACACCAGGTTGCAAAGTAATAGGGGTTTAAAAATTTGACTTAATTCCTTTTATATATAGAATCAAGCGTATAAAGCTATAAAATTAAGTTTGTATAAATTGACAAACTATATCAAACCTAACTTAAACCAGTTTACGAGGTCAACCACTGCTTATTAACCTGGAGTAAATAATGGATTTCAATTTTGCTTACCTAGCTCAACAGGTCCGCGTTCGATGAATTAGCTTCTTTATATTTGCGCAGTTCGAATTTTTAAAAAAATTACTTTTTTAGTTCTAGCAATTAATATTATTTTCCAAACTGAAATCTTAAATCCAGAATATTGTTTAGACAATCATAAAGTTTTCTTATAAAAAATTGTAAATTCTACAATTTTTTATATTTAAATAAAAAATATTTTACAGTTAAAGAGACAAATTTCAATCACATTAAAGTTCCCTGGTTTTGTAAACCCATTTCTCTCTACGTTTAGTCAAGGTGTAAAGAAGTTAAAGGATGGTTGAGTTGAGATCCCTTGGGACTAATCCTAGCTCCGCCTTACTCTAACTTTACACCAGAACTACATTCAAATTCTCAAATGTAAAATCACTTTGAAGATTGAAGTCAAGAACCAGCAACAAGAATACGAAATCTTTTTCTCGTTTCTAACAGAGATTTTTGAAAAGGGCGCCATAATCTGGATTACAGATTATTACAGCTTGTTACCTGCAGGTACCATGTTTTTATTTTTCTCCGGGTTGTTATTGTTGCTGAGGGAGAGGGATGGGGTAATCTTCCTAGTAAACAAACATCATATCCGGGAATATTTACGATGTTTGTTTCCGTCCCTACTCCCGGTAGATCCTTCAAGTGAGTTGTTTACTCCAGAATTGAAGAATGTATGCGTGGAGATGTATTCTGTGATCAAAGAATCCATGGTTTACTCAGGGCGGGTAAATTTTATGTTTACTCTGGGAGGGAGAAAGGAATGTTTACTCGTGGAGGGGAGAAAATCGGAGAATTTATGATTTCTACGGAATAGAAAAATGACAGGATAGAAAAATGTTTATTAACCCTGGGAAGGAATGATGTTTTATTTTCTCTGGAATGAAGTAAATCGTTTAATTTTGAGATAAAAGTTTTTTCGTTATTTTGCTATAGGTATATATATAGATAGAAAGTCTCTCCCAGTTAGAATCTGAACCCTGAAAAGGTTTAGTCTAAGGGTTGATAATATCCCTGACAAGATAGGTTTATGTAAACACTCTAAACCCTCTTCAGGGCTCGACATAGTAGATAGAGATACTCAATAGATCAGTCGAACCATGAGACAAGGCAATAGAATGGAAAACAAAGGGAAGAATGGAATGTAAAGAGAAGACTGTAAAAAAAAATTCATATTTCTTTTTAAAATTAAAGCCTATATTTTTTATTTATAAAAATCTATAAATATCAAATATAATATCCTAAATCCAATGGTCCAATAAGCAAGATGATTTTACTCCGGAGCTCACGTGTTTAGTAACATTATCAGATTAAATCAGATTAGAAACCTCTCTCCCTCTCTTGTTTAGTCTGTCTCCATGTACTATCTAAATATACATTTATCAATTAATAATAATAGAGAACTCCGAAGCTATATTTGCTTAAATTGTAAAATATTCTGTTGTTCCATCTCATCGTCATGGTTCCATATATTCTACAATATATTCCTTATATTCTACCGTTCCATCTCATCTTCAGGGTGCCATATATTCTACAATATATTCCTTATATTCTACCGTTCCATCTCATCTTCAGGGTGCCATATATTCTCCAATATATTCCTTATATTCTACCGTTCCATCTCATCTTCATGGTGCCATATATTCTACAATATATTCTTTATATTCTACCGTTCCATATCATCTTCATGGTTCCATATATTCTACAATATATTCCTTATATTCTACCGTTCCATCTCATCTTCATGGTTCCATATATTCTCCATTGTATTCCTTATATTATACCGTTCCATCTCATCTTCAGGGTGCCATATATTCTACAATATATTCCTTATATTCTACCGTTCCATCTCATCTTAATGATTTCATATATTCTCCATTGTATTCCTTATATTATACCGTTCCATCTCATCTTCATGGTTCCATATATTCTCCAATATATTCCTTATATTCTACCGTTCCATCTCATCTTCAGGGTTCCATATATTCTCCAATATATTCCTTATATTCTACCGTTCCATCTCATCTTAATGATTTCATATATTCTCCATTGTATTCCTTATATTATACCGTTCCAGCTCATCTTCATGGTTCCATATATTCTCCAATATATTCCTTATATTCTACCGTTCCATACTATCTTCATGGTTCAATATATTCTCCAATATATTCCTTATATTCTATCGTTCCATATAATCTTCATGGTTCCATATATTCTCCAATATATTCCTTATATTCTACCGTTCCATACTATCTTCATGGTTCAATATATTCTCCAATATAATAATATATATAATAATATATTAAATTCTACCATTCCATCTCATCTTCATGGTTCAATATACTCTACAATATATTCCTTATATTCTACCGTTCCATCTCATCTTTATGGTTCCATATATTCTCCATTGTATTCCTTCTATTATACCGTTCCATCTCATCTTCATGGTTCCATATATTCTCCATTGTATTCCTTCTATTATACCGTTCCATCTCATCTTCATGGTTCCATATATTCTCCGTTGTATTCCTTCTATTATATCGTTCCATCTCATCTTCATGGTTCCATATATTCTTCAATATATTCCTTATATTATACCGTTCCATATCATCTTCATGGTTCCATATATTCTCCAATATATTCCTTAAATTCCACCATTCCATACATCTTTTAAGATCCATATATTCTTCACCATAAATGAATTCCTAATAATTTCATGTCTTATCTCCTTTAAAAGGTTCCATATATGATAAATCCTCCTATTTACCCGGTTTCATCTTATTTTCAATAGTTAATACATTCTTAGATGAATCTCAGATTATTAAACTTCTATAGATAGGTAACTTCACCAGTTTGGGCTTAAAGAATGAAGCAGTGACTTAATTTGAATTATTTACTGCAGTTTTACCAGAACTAAAAATACCCCACGGTTCCCACCCCTCTCTATTTATTACACTTTACGGTTCACTACAACAAACTGGTATAATTTTTCATTTTTATTCCAATTTTTGCTGGATTTAGAGACAGTTCCCAAACCAAATAATTCGAGTTTTCTATCTAGAGGATTAATAATCTCAAATTCATTTATATTATTCCTCAAACCTCAAGGTTCCCCTATTCTCCAATATATTCCTTATATTCTACCGTTCCATCTCATCTTCATGGTTCCATATATTCTCCAATATATTCTTTCTAAACGTCAAATTCACACCGTCTTCAAATCCTACAACCTCTACAGTTTCTAGGACATAATGCTCTCATTGTTCTCTCCTATCTAGTTGTTCTCTCCTGTCTAGTTGTTCTCTCCTGTCTAGTTGTTCTCTCCTGTCTAGTTGTTCTCTCCTGTCTAGTACTTCTCTCCTGTCTAGTAGTTATCTGGTCCGCTCTAGTTGTTCTCTCCTATCTGGTAGTTCTCTCCTGTCTAGTAGTTCTCTCCTTCTAGTAGTTATCTGGTCCACAGTAGTTGTTCTCTCCAATCTAGTAGTTCTCTCCAATCTAGTAGTTCTCTCCTGTCTAGTATTTCTCTCCATTCTAGTAGTTCTCTCCTTTCTATTTGTTGTCTCATGTCTAGTAGTTCTCTCCAGTCTAGTTGTTCTCTCCTATCTAGTTGTACTCTCCTCTATAGTAGTTCTCTCCTGTCTAGTTGTACTCTCCTGTCTAGTAGTTCTCTCCAGTCTAGTAGTTCTCTCCTGTCTAGTAGTTCTCTCCTGTCTAGTTGTACTCTCCAGTCTAGTTTTACTCTCCTATCTAGTAGTTATCTCAAGTCTAGTAGTTCTCTCCTTTCTAGTAGTTATCTCCTGTCTAGTAGTTCTCTCCTGTCTAGTAGTTCTCTCCTGTCTAGTAGTTCTCTCCTGTCTAGTTGTTCTCTCCTGTCTAGTAGTTCTCTCCTGTCTAGTAGTTCTCTCCTGTCTAGTAGTACTCTCCTATCTTGTAGTTTTCTCCTGTCTAGTTGTTCTCTCCTATCTACTAGTTCTCTTCTGTCTAGTAGTTCTCTCCTATCTAGTAGTTCTCTACTGTCTAGTTGTTCTCTCCAGTCTAGTAGTTCTCTCCTCTCTAGTTGTTCTCTCCTATCTAGTAGTTCATTCCAGTCAAGTTGTTCTCTCCTTTCTTGTAGTTCTCTCCTGTCTAGCAGTTCATTCCAGTCTAGTTGTTCTCTCCTATCTAGTAGTTCTCTCCTTTCTAGTAGTTATCTGATCCTCTCTAGTAGTTTTCTCCTGTCTACTTCACTGTAGAACAGCTTACCCGGAGAGGATTAAAGAGAAACTTATCCAAGTGTGTGCTGAAGAATGAAGATAGGGAAGGATTGTATTGTTTTCTAGTTACTAGGAGAGAAACTATACATAGATTAGGTTGGAACAGCTTAAACCCTTGAAATTCTCCGCTAATCCTTGAAACCTCAATCAAATATTGACTCAGTATTGAGTTGTTGAAACCATTAATATTAGATCCATTATCTAAACCTATACTTTCAAGTTTATCCATTAGACATCTCATCATCCCATTAGTGCCTTTACTTTACAGTAGAGATTACAATAAACTTGATACCATAGTAAATCTGTTTACAACAAGCTTTAGATTCGATAAACCAAATGAAACTAAATTTGAAATGAAGTAAAAAAAGAGATATTATGTTTATGCAACTTCGATTATCTAAAAAAATATCAGATTTGAATTGCCAAAAGATATCGGATCGGCGTAATAAAACTACTGTTAGAATCACATTTTATTGTGAGTTAATGGAAACCTCAAAATGAGACTTTTCAGATTTTCACTGCGTTAGCTTTCCATGCTTTTAGACATTTTTATCAAGAAAGCTTTTCTTCAATCTCCATGTTTCTAAAACATTGAATTCCAAATCAGGGGGGAAGTGCTCTTTAGGATGAGTGGGGGAGGGGGAGGAGTAGAATGGAATTAGCTTGGAAAGATTTAATTAACAGTTAGCTCTATTTACAAAGGGAGTTGAGAGAAATTCAAAACTAAACTTCATTTCAATAAATCTGATATTAAATTCAATGATTTAGTTTATGAACGGATACAAACACACTTTTATATGTGTTTAGAGGATAAAAGGTAAATTCAGTTGGAAACAATATACTAGATTTCAGTGTTGTAGAATTTATTTAATGTTTATTAATTGTTAAGAAGCGTTAAGCTTTTGTGTTAGGAATGTTTGTCCTCAGGGTTGGGAATGCTTGTCCTCAGTATTAGAAAGATTTTTTTCTCAGGGTTAGGAATGTTTAATCTCAGTGTTAGGAAAGTTTGTCCTCGGTGTTAGGAATGATTAGCTTCGGGTTAGGAATGTTTTTTTCTCAGCGTTAAGAATGTTTGTCCACAGGGTTAGGAATGTTTAGGTATGTTTATCCTCAAGGCTAGGAACGCTCGTCCTCAGGTTAGGAATTTTGTCCACAGGGTTAGGAATGTTTTTGTCCTCTCCTCAGGGTTAGAAATGGTTTTCCTTAGGGTTACTAATGTTTGTCCTTAGACTTAGAAATGTTTGTCCTCAGTGTTAGGAATTTTTTTCCTCGTCGTTAGGAATGTTTTTCCTCAGCGTTAGGAATGTTTGTCCACAGGGTTAAGAATGTTTGTCCTCAGGGTTAGGAATGTTTATCCTACGGGTTAGGGATGTTTGTCCTCAGGGTTAGGAACGTTTGTCCTCAGGGTAAGGAATGTTTGTCCTCAGGGTTAAAAATGTTTGTCCTTTGTGTTAGGAATGTTTATCCTCAGGGTTAGGAATGATTAGCTCAGGGTTAGGAATGTTTATCCTCAGGGTTAAAACTGTTTAGTTCCTGGGTTTGGACTTGTTAACTCCCAGTATATGATTAGATTGATAGGGGACAAATTCAATTACTCCGGGTATTACGATCTGATGGAGTTTCAAAGGATTTTCTCCAACGAAATTGATATCATTCATTCTCCATCAGGCTCAACTTTATCATTGAATTCTGTATATTCCCTAAGGTGTTAAAACACTTCTCTGTGCGAAAAATGTTCGATTTTAGCCCTTGCTAATCATTTTAACACTTTTAACACCCCCCTCTTCTGTCTAGTAGTTCTCTCCAGTCTAGTTGTTCTCTTCCCTCTTTTATATGATTAGTATTAATATTCTGAGTATTTGCAGTATCAGCTACTCTATAGATGTATATCCAGTATTACATTTTGAATATTCCTTATGCACAATATCACAACTACCTACTCTGTTCCCTACCTAGAGTATTATTCAAACTAACTACTCTGTTCCCTACCTAGAGTACATCCAAACTACCTACTCTGTTCCCTACCTAGAGTACATCCAAATCCAAACTACCTACTCTGTTCCCTACCTTGAGTACATCCAAATCCAAACTACCTACTCTGTTCCCTACATAGAGTACATCCAAACTACCTACTCTGTTCCCTACCTAGAGTACATCCAAACTACCTACTCTGTTCTCTACCTAGAGTACATCCAAACTACCTACTCTGTTCCCTACCTACAGTATATACAAACCATCTACTCTGTTCCCTACCAAGAGTATATTCAAACTACTTACTCTGTTCCTGACCTATAGTATATCCAAGCTATCTACTCTGTTCCCTACCTAGAGTATATTCAAACTAACTATTCTGTTCCCTACCTAGAGTATATTCAAACTACCTACTCTGTTCCCTACCTAGAGTATATCCAAGCTATCTACTCTGTTCCCTACCTAGAGTATATCCAAGATATCTACTCTGTTCCCTACCTAGAGTATATCCTAGCTATCTACTCTGTTTCTTACCTAGAGTATATTCAAACTACCTACTCTGTTCCCTACCTAGAGTATATTCAAACTACCTACTCTGTTCCCTACCTAAAGTATATCCAAACTACCTACTCTGTTCCCTACAAAGAGTATTTACAACTAACCACTTATATAAGACCCAAACTACCTACTCTGTTCTCTTCAAAAGTATACACAAACTGCCCACCCTGGTTCAAAATACCTAGTTCTCTCCTTACCCAGAGTATGTAAAAAACTACCTGCTCATAGCAGATCCAAACTATCTACCTTTCTCTTTACCTAAAGTATAACCAATCTAAATTCTATTTTGTCCTAACAAGGAATAATTCACGGAAATCCTGCACGAATATGTTAAATTAGTAAAAAAAATTTCCTCAAAAAAAATTCTTTATAATGCAAAAGAATCCTGTTCAAATAAAAAAATCAATCTTTCCTAATAAAAAAAAACCTGTTCTAATGAATGGATAGAAATTTTGTCCCAATTACCGGGTATCCTGTCCTAATATATATTTATTAAACCCCTGTCCAGAGATTCAAAACCCTGTCCTAATATATATTTATTAAACCCCTGTCCAGAGATTCAAAAACCCTGTCCTAATATATATTTATTAAACCCCTGTCCAGAGATTCAAAAACCCTGTCTTGATATATATTTATTAAACCCCTGTCCAGAGATTCAAAAAGCTTATCCTAGGTTCCAAAACTGAATCTACTTTATAGATAACAATAATATCTGTGTGTGTTTATATAAAGAATGTTGAGAAGTTTGGCTCCAGGTTCTATTCACAGTGTTCTCCCTCCTAGATCCGTTCTTATCAGTTTCCACACGGATGCACACATCAGATTTATAGTTCTCCTTCTCCCTTCATCCCGTCTTATGACACCATCTCCTCTCACATTTTCTTCATAACAATATTTTCTGTTCAGTTCTGTTCAGTTTTGTTCAGTTCCGTTTAGTTCTGTTTTGTTCTGTTCAGTTCTGTTCAGGTCTGTTCAGTTCTGTTCGGTTCTGACCTCCCTACTACTCTTCAATAACCGCCAACTCCGCCCTTAACTCATAATCCTGAAAACCCGAATCTTCTCTGNAGGGGGGGGGGGGGTTGCTATCCAACCAGCCTAGGCTGATGAAAACCAGTCAGTTCCAGATAGAACCATGTGTAAATCCAAGAGGTTGACCGACCTAAGTCTAGAATATCCCGGTGTAAACAGAACAGTGTCAGTAGGAGATAATAGAACCATCCATCATGTTCCTCACATATTCTAGGTTCAAACGGTGAGATAAGTTAAAAATCTCTGTAACGCGCTATACAGGGAGAAGAGAGTGAGGGGGGAGGGGGGGGGGGGTCCTGAAAATAAGAATTATTTAATATTTTCTCATTGCTCCAATATTCCCTTTTCTCTTTCTGTCAACCTGACATCAGAGAAATATTCTTTATTTTAATTCTAACTTTTATTTTCATTTTATCTTAACACGACATAATACGTGTCAAGGGAACAGAATAGTATTAGAACATATATTTATGTTATTTATGATAAAAATAATAATTACAAAATTATTTGAGAAAAAAGTAAATATTTGTTTTAAAAATTAGTTTTCCCATGAAAGGTTTCAATTTTATTTTCTAAAAATGTTTATTTTTCAAAAAACCATAAATTCTTTCCACAAACTAAATTTTTTTATTCATTTTACCTTTGCAACCTGATGTTACCACCTGTTCTATTTCCAACTATGACATCTGTTAGATCAAAGTATCAGAGTTGAAATATCAAAGGTTTACATTATCTGACTCTACTGATGTGAAGATTACAATACTAGAGTTTGTGATGAGTGTTCAATTCCTTGTTTTGTGATTTCCATGCATTAATTAACACGTCAAATTGGGTGGTCAAGGGCATACTTTTTAGATAACCAATAAGAATTACTTTCACAACATCTTAAATCTTGATCATTAATAAGATTATTGAAATGTAAAACCATTTATTCACTTAGCAGTTCTTTTAGCTACTAACAAAAAAGGTGCATGGCGATAAAATTAGGTAAATCTTATGTCCTATATTTTTGCTTCATTTTCATAAATTTTCAGAATTTACAAGAAAATATTAATGCGCAATAAAAGATGAAAAAAGAAATATTTAGGAAGCAAAATGTTTAATATCTATGTAAATGATTTATTTTAAAATAAAATAATCAACAATTTTGATGATAGGGTTAACTCTTAGTATGTAAATGCGTCCGACATCTAACTGCGTAAATACGGTGGTTAGATTCAAGCATATTCTGGGAGGCGACTTGAAACTCTTTAAATATGACGATTATAAGGTTAAATTAAGTCTTATGCCTTTAATATCGCTTTTATTGGCCTATTTATTGACATGACAACGAAAGGACCCTGTATTTGCTAAATATTACCATTGATCGCAAAATATGTAATAAAATTCTTTCTTTCAGTACGCATTTTTATTTAGCTGTATATGACGCATGTTTTGTGTTGAGAGTTTTCAAACCCTTTCTCTGTTTACAAACAGTTGTTTATCTCCAGCTTTCTCTGGGTCCTCTCTAGTCCACTGGTTCTTCATCTCTCCGGAGTCTTGATTAAGCTTAAACCCAATAATCTCTAGTTTTCTTCCTGATTGGATAAACTTGGATCTGGTTTATAACAATAAACATATTTATCAAAATATTGTATTTTCTCTAGCTATATTTGTATTTTTTACATTTCTGTATTTTTAGCATATTTTATAGTTTGTGGAAATATTTGAATATTTGTATCTTTGTAAATACTTGAAAATATATGAAAAATATTCTATTTTTATTCTAACTATTTGTTTTGTTTTAGGAAAGGAGGGTGCGAAGGGATGTCAGGGATGTCGGGGGTCCGGGCCGGGGCCGAGGCGGCGTTCCAGAGCGCCCACCTGGACGAACAAACCGCCCACGAAGATTGCCCAGAGGATGTAAAAGGGGCGTTCCTATTCAAGCTAAAGTCCGGAGTATCGGCAGTGAGCGGAAACGCAAATCGTGTTTTTCGACGGGAAGGAGCGTACAATCGGTACGATTTCAAGGATGCTAACGAGGGGATCGATAAAACGGTGAACGGCGGGGATTACTGTGAAACGGATCTGTCTATGCCGGAGGAGTACCCGGAGCTGGAACGTCCTCCGCTCCGTAAGATCGACAAATACTGTCAACCAGAGTGTCCATGTTGTAATGTGTCCAAACGTTATACACAGGTAATTTGTTCTCTTTTAAAAATAACAAATTAAAAGTGCTCCGAGTTTACAAGGTGTTTGCTGGGGNGGGGGGATACATGGTAAAAGTGCATTGTTAGTCCAATAAAGGGCTTTACCAAGTTGTGAATAAGACAAATAAAACTTCAAACTGAGGATCAATTAAAATTTGGTCTAATCCTTTTTTTATAAATAGGATAAATGTAAACATATCTTATTTTAGGCTATCCTTGTTATGGTTGGGTTCATTATTTCATTTGGAATCCGTTGCAACGTTGGTGTGGCGCAGGTCAGGATGATGTCCAACACGACCAACGAGAAGGGAGAGGTTACGGAGATCAGTGAGTTCCACTGGAGCCCTGAGACTATTGGATACGTGGACGCGTCCTTCTTCTGGGGATACATCATCACCCAGCTTCCCGGGGGGTTCCTGGCCTCAAGGTTTCCGGCAAACAGACTTTTTGGAACTGCCATTTTCCTCTCATCTTGTCTCAACCTTCTCATTCCGGCTGCAACCATGTTGGATCCTAAAGCTCTAATCTTGGTGCGAGTTCTCCAGGTTAGTTCTTTCTCTCCAACCTTATCCTGGTTTTATCCTTCACTGAAGGAAAGTTTATTTAGTTTTAGAACTGCGACTAAAACATTCTTATGTTTTATTTTTTCTGCACTTTGTTTTAAACTCAACAAAATTGTCTTAGAAAACACGTAACCAACTCCTTACAAACTGTATTCTGTATCTAGGGTCTGGTTGAGGGAGTAACTTATCCAGCTTGTCATGGTATCTGGAGATGGTGGGCTCCTCCTCTTGAGAGATCAAGGCTGGCAACCCTGGCCTTCTGTGGATCCTATGGAGGAGCTGTGCTCGGGATGCCAATCAGTGGGTAGGTTTTATCTGCATCTATTTATCTATTTCATCCATTCATCGTTATATATTTGAGCATGTTTCATCGTGATACATTTCAGTAGGTTTCATCTTGATATATTTCAGTAGGTTTCATCTTGATATATTTCAGTAGGTTTCATCTTGATATATTTTAATAACAAAGTTTCTGTTGATTTAAAATTGTATTATTTACTAAAATCCTTTTTTTGACAGCGGCGTATGCTTCCTCAAATCCATGGTTTTAAATTTTCCCCTAGATTTTCTAAACTCTTCTCTGGGCCCTCTATTAGCTCTAATTTTTACTCTGGTTCAGGTATCTGGTTCAGTGGATAGCCTGGTGGGCTCCCTTCTACTTCTACGGAGCTGCTGGTATCATCTGGTATATGTTCTGGCTCTGGTTGTCCTTTGAGAAGCCTGCAACCCATCCTTCAATCTCTCCTAGAGAACAACTCTATATAGAGAAATCTCTAGGAGACTCGAAGGCGAAACAACCAACTATCAGGGATACTCCTTGGGCAAAGGTTAATAGATTTATGTAATTAGAAAATACTCCCTAATCCAACCTTAATAATTAGAAAACACTCCCTAATCCAACCTTAATAATTAGAAAACACTCCCTAATCCAACCTTAATAATTAGAAAACACTCCCTAATCCAACCTTAATAATTAGAAAACACTCCCTAATCCAACCTTGATAATTAGAAAGCACTCCCTAATCCAACCTTAATAATTATAAAATACTCCCTAATCCAACCTTAATAATTATAAAACACTCCCTAATTTAAGCTTCTTAATTAGAAAGCACTCCTCCCTAATTCCAGCTCAATAAGTAGCAAACACTCCCTAATTCAAGTTTAATAATTAGAAAACACTCCCTTATTCCAGCTAAATAATTAGAAAATACTCCATTATTCAAGTTTAATAATTATAAAATACTCCCTTATGCAAGGTTAATAAATAGAAAACTCTCGCTTATTTAAACTTAATAATTAAGAACACTCTCTAATTCAAGCTAAATGATTAAAAAATACTCCCTTATTCAAGCTTTATACTTAGAAAACACTCCCTTTAAATATGTCCCTAAGTAAGCCGAAAACACTCCCTTGTAACTCTTGTGAACTATTCTAATACTTCTTCTGTTCCAAGCTCATTAAATAACTCCGCAGAAGAAAGTTTGATGTAAAAATTAATCTTGAAACTTCAACGCCATTCTAGAACAATGTAGTTTATCATCAAGCTAATTATCAACTGAAAAATAAAAAGGAATCGATTACTTGCTTCAAACTCTAATTTTCGATTTCTTATATCTTTATAACCTGATGGTGTAAATGTACCTTTATTATTTCAAGATATGACTTCCTTATTGAGCATAATTTGTAGTTTTAAATATTAAAGATCTACAACATTAGGTCGTAAAGATATAGAAGGATTAATAAATTAGAACATCAGGCGAGTAATCCATTCCATTGTTCTAATTATATCTCTCTAGGTTTTCACGTGTATGCCGGTATGGGCGATCATTGTCGCTAACTTCGCTCGATCCTGGACCTTCTATCTTCTTCTAATCACCCAACCCAAGTATTTTAAAGAAGTATTTGGGATGGAGGTTGCTGAAGGAGCAACCCTGGCCGCTCTACCCCATCTGATCATGACGATCATAGTTCCCCTGGGGGGTCAACTGGCGGACTACCTGAGGCGAAGTGAGATCCTGAGCACCACCAACGTTAGAAAGCTCTTCAACTGCGGAGGGTTCGGAGGAGAGGCTCTGTTTCTCATCGTGGTCGCCTGTACCAGGGATAAACTGGTTGCAGTTATTGCTCTGATTATAGCTGTAGGCTGCAGCGGGTTCGCTATCTCCGGGTTCAACGTGAACCATCTGGATATAGCTCCCAGATACGCTTCAATCCTCATGGGTATCAGCAACGGAGTCGGGACATTTTCAGGTAATTAACTTTTCTCAGAGGGTTTATATTGAATCAAGTTTGAAGGGGAGAGTAGGAAGGAGGAGGGGGGGGAGGGGGGGGTACTGAAGGGTTCTAGAGATAAAAGGGGGGGGATACGGGGGGTTTTAGAGGAAGGAGGGGAGATTAGGGTGGGATTAACTTGGTTTCTCAGTTACTTTCAGCCACTCATTTTCTCATTAAGACAATAGTGAAACTTATGCTGAGTTAGCGAGGTTCAGCTGATTACAGTAATTAGAAACTAATCTTATATATTCTAGTTTATACAGTTTATTCAAATAGGGCTTAGGGTCCTTTATTAGTCTTAATAGTTCTAAGAAACATAATGGAGTTTGAAATTAATCTCTGTGTTCTTCTAAAGATTTTAATTAACTTTGCAATGATTTTTAAAATAACTATTCAGAGATTGTTTTCACATGATTGTAAATTGTAAATGGAATTTATTTACTTTCCTCATTTTTGTTATCATTATATCTTTGCAAACTGATGAAGCATGGACCTTTGATATTTAGATAGTCAAAGTTTGAAATGTAAGAGGTTTACACCATCAGGTTTTGAAGATATAGGAATTAGACAATAAAGGTTTGATGCGTGTAATAAATTATAATTTGTCATTATTTTTTGACAATCAAACTACAGTGCAGCATTATACTTTCATTTTATATACAACTGATATGAAGGGGTTGGGGGTTGGGAATACATATATTTGGTGAATTCTTTGCGAGTCTGAAAATAGTTCTAGGATTTATTTAATAAAGAACTATGGTGTGTTCCATATATCTCAGGAAATACTCAGAATTTACTTTTTATTCGAAAACTTGGTCAAAAACTTTATCAGAGAATACTAGGGGAAGAATAGGATGAAAGGATGAAAGAAAAGATGAAAGAATTATGAGATGAATGCTGCAAAGTTTAACAGTTTTTGTTTAAAAAATTTAAATACCTTTTTTCACAGCGTTTTATAAGTGATGTTTTTCATTGAACATGAGAAGAGTAATATTTCTCTAATGATCAATTGAATAGAAAAAAAAAATTTCTTTCTTTTCTAAATCTAAATATTAACAAACGATTAAAAACGTAAAGACAAGGATTCAAAATTTAGCTAAATCAAAATATTTCATCTTTTAAACATTATTACTGTCTAGGTATGATTTGCCCCATCACAGTTGAGCAATTGACAAAGAAAGGAGGAACCCTGGAAGAAATCGAAGCAGAATGGCAAACAGTTTTCCTCATTGCTAGCGCCATTCATATCTTTGGCGTCATTTTCTACGCTATATTCGCGAGCGGAGAGGTAACGAAAATTAGCATTTTTTTAATAAAAAGTTTTTCTTTGTTTCTTTTCCATATTAACAAGTTAGTTGGTTTGGAAATCTGATATATTATTTTGATTTTAGGTTCAGGATTGGGCAAAAGCGAAACCTATGGATGAAAACTTTGAGATGGATTTGGAGAAGCCTAATACTGGACACGGAGCCAATATCAACGTGGATACCAGCTTCCAGCAGCAGGGGGAGATGGAGAGTGAGCTTCACGAACCAACACCTGCTGCTTCATCTGCTAATCCTTTCACTCAACCCCAGACTAGTAATCCATTCAGACAGTGAATTGGATCTGTTTAAACCGGAGCTAATCAGACCAACCAGGTATCCGAAGCTAATCAAACCAACCAGGTATCCGGAGCTAATCAAACCAACCAGGTATCCGGAGCTAATCAAACCAACCAGGTATCCGGAGCTAATCAAACCAATCAAAGGTAGCCGGAGCTAATCAAACCAACCAGGTATACGGAGCTAATCAAACCAACCAGGTATCCGGAGCTAATCAAACCAACCAGGTATCCGGAGCTAATCAAACCAACCAGGTATCCGGAGCTAATCAAACCAATCAAAGGTAGCCGGAGCTAATCAAACCAACCAGGTATACGGAGCTAATCAAACCAACCAGGTATCCGGAGCTTACCAGACCAAAAATCGGAGCTAACTAACAAAAGAATCCGGAGCGAATCAAACCAACCCGGTTCCCGGAGCTATCAAACCAATGAGAAACCCGGAGAACCTAGACCTAGTCCCGCGACAGAGGAATTTGAAAATACTCCCCGTCGTCTTAATCCTATTAGGATCCCACTCCGGGACCTAATTGATCTTATTACAAGCTCTGATCTCAAATTAGAAACTCAATGGATCTCTTCTAAAAGAAACCTATCAATGGAATTTAGTTCCCAAACCGTTATATGTACTTTTACTCTTTAGATATTACGTATCTAAAGATACAAAATCTACATCTTGTTAAAAACTTAAAGAAAATCTTAAACAAAATTTACAAAATTTATAACCTGACCCAAAATATCGAAAATTTTGCTTAAAAATTTATAGTTCTTTGTACATCAGAAAAATATTCGATTCTTATTTGAAATAACCATCAATTGAAACAGGAATAATTCTGAAAATAATTATCAATGAAAACAGGAATAATTCTGAAAATAATCATCAATGGAAACAGGAATAATTCTGAAATAATCATCAATGGAAACAGGAATAATTCTGAAAATAATCATCAATGGAAACAGGAATAATTCTGAAAATAATCATCAATGGAAACAGGAATAATTCTGAAAATAATAATCAATGGAAATGATAAAATGATTCTGTAAATAAAACCAATGCCAATGGAACAAATTAAATAAAAACTAATACAAAAAAAATGACAACCTCAATGGTAATATGGTTGAAAGTGAGTCAGGACTTCAATTGAGCCGAACATCAATATCTTCTTAAAAGAATATCTTGAAATTGGTCAGGTTGTAAAGTTCTAGGTTCATTGGCTTCTCTTTATTTACCCGGTAATAGCAGTGTTAAAATTATATGTAAGATGGTTGTGATTGGAATAATTTTCTTCATCTTCAAGTTTTATCTTTGTTCACATTTGAATTTGTAAATATGTTAGCAGCGCATAGAATTGACATCAATGGATAAATATTTCTTCCCGAGTTAACGGAACCCGGACCTAGTTTCCGGATCCATTTTTTTATGGGTTGGCGGGACCACATTCCTCTGGGTTAAGTTAACACTAGGAGCTGAGTATATTTGTTGTGATGGATAAACTATATAGATGTCCTCAAGGTTTTCATAGGCTTAAGGGTTGAACTGAGAAGAAGGATCTGAACCGAACCTTCTCCGAGGTTTAGAAAGGAGAACTGATCTCCTTGTAACCAGTATTTAGCATTCTGTTCAATTCCTGTCATTTATATTGAACTGCTTGCCTAGTACTGGTCCAGGGTCTTCTATACTTTATTATTTAATTGTTTATAGTTTAATTATATATCATATCAGGTATCGGAGACCCTGTTTTCTTAAACATGTCCGAGGCAATTTATTAACTTGTTGAGCGATTGTAAAACCCGTTGTATTTAAATGTTAGTTCGAAAACGAACCTTGTCAAGGCTTTCATAGATAGTACATGTACAGAGGAACCCTGGATTAGTCTTGAGGTTTCCTTTATTATGTACTTGCCCCAACATCAATGGAATTATTATAAGAAATCTTGTTTTTTTTCCAAATCTCGATGATTAAAATAAATTTTAAAGTTGTGTTTTTCTAAAATTAAATTTTTGAAAGTTTAGAATCCGATATAAAGTTTACTCATCAGAGAATCTTATTCTTCCTTTACTCCCTGTTCTCTCTATTCTCCTTATTCTTCCTTTACTCCGTGTTCTCTCTATTCTCCTTATTCTTCCTTTACTCCATGTTATCTCTATTATCCCCCTTTTCTCTGTGTATCCCTCCTCTATCTTTATTCCCAAGAGATCTCATCAAACACTAAACCTGTCATTTCTCCCTGGAGATACAATCATCTCCTAAACCCGGAGAAATATCTTTACCGAACCTTGATTAATATTTGTATTATCATAAAAAAATAAACATAGGATAAACCAGCTTTTAATGGAACCATTCTTTCTAAAGAGTTACATACAAATTGCTTTTAGTTTTATAGAAACAATTCCATTGAAAGCTTTCAATTTCTTATCAAAAAATATGGATATTTTCACCATTTTTGCGAAGACAACGGCTAGTTTTCTATCAGAATAACGTTCATTTAACCTAGAGAAAGTTTTATGTGTAAGCAACATGGTTTATTCTATAATTATTGATATATTAATATTAATGATTCTGACGCCATTTCGCCAAGGTTTATTACGCAGTCGTTTCTCGGATCTTTTAAAAAGAATACTGATGTTATCTATCTATGTCTTGCGAGCCCATTTAAAATTACTTTACCAGTTATTTTCCTCTTCTCACTTTTCACGTATCCACCACCCCCCCTTCCACACTTTAATAAAAGATATTTCTCAGTAAATGTGGGGAGGGGGGGGGGAGGATAGAGTAGAGTAGAGGGGAGAACATTTTTAATAATTTTCTCGGATTTAACGGTTGGACAAATTTAATGAATAATAAAGGACGATTCATTATTAAACAACCCCTGCAGGATAGGATCAAGAGGACTCAGAAAATTAATAAAGAAATTCCTATATCCCCCCCCTTATCTACTTCTGGTAACCCCCCCCCTTATCTTCTTCTGTACCCCCCCTTATCTACTTCTGTTTCCCCCACCCCGTGGGAATATTTTTTTATTTGGCTCCAGGGAGACAATCATATATCCTCACAAGATCTCAATCATATATCCTCACTAGATCTCAACTATATATCCTCACTAGATCTTAACCATATATCCTCACTAGATCTCAATCATATATCCTCACTAGATCTCAACCATATATCCTCACTAGATCTCAATCATATATCCTCACTAGATCTCAACCATATATCCTCACTAGATCTCAATCATTTATCCTCACAAGATCTCAACCATACACCCTCACTAGATCTCAATCATTCATCCTCACAAGATCTTAACCATATATCCTCACAAGATCTTAACCATATATCCTCACAAGATCTCAACCATATATCCTCACTAGATCTTACCATATACCCTCACAAGATCTCAATCATTCATCCTCACAAGATCTTAACCATATATCCTCACTAAATCTTAACCATATACCCTCACAAGTTCTTACCATATATCCTCACAAGATCTCAACCATATATCCTCACAAGATTTCAACCATATACCCTCACAAGATCTCAATCATATACCCTCACTATATCTCAATCATATACCCTCACTAGATCTCAATCATATGCCCTCACAAGATCTAAATATAATTTAAAAATGTGAGGTCTCTCTTACATTTACGATTTTAAAAAACTTTACCCGCTCGGTCATCAACAAGCGAAAGCTAAGAAAGGTGTGTTCACTACTCAATGGTAAAGTGAAAGCTAAGAAAGGGGTGTTCACTATTCAATGGTAAAGTGAAAGCCAAGAAAGAGGTGTTCATTGTTCAATGGTAAAGTGAAAGCTTAGAAAGGGGTGTTCACTGTTCAATGGCAAAGTGAAAGCTAAGAAAGGGGTATTCACTGTTCGATGGTAGAGTGAAAGCCAAGAAAGGGGTGTTCACTGTTCTATGGTAAAGTAAAAGCTAAGAAAGGGGTGTTTACTGTGCAATGGTAAAGTGAAAGCTAAGAATGGGGTGTTCACTGTTCAATGGTAAAGTGAAAGCCAAGAAAGGGGTGTTCACTGTTCAATTGTAACGTAAAAGCTAAGAAAGGAGTGTTCACTGTTCAATGGTAAAGTAAAAGCCAAGAAAGGGGTGTTCACTGTTCAATGGTAAATTGAAAGCCAAGAAAGGGGTGTTTACTAATCAATGGTAAAGTGAAAGCTAAGAAAGGGGTGTTTACTGTTCAATGGTAAAGTGAAAGCTAAGAAAGGGGTGTTTACTGTGCAATGGTAGAGTGCAAGCTAAGAAAGTGGGTTCACTGTTTAATGGTAAAGTGAAAGTGCACTATTGTAAAACAGGAAATTATGATGTATCTACAAGATAAGATACATGACAGATAAGAACAGTGAAACCCTTAATAACGAATACATCAGAAGAATTTATCAAATGTCGTCTTGACAATTTTTCAATGAGTTTTATACTATATTTCGTAAATTTCAGTATTTGCGAAAATAAATAAATAGCCATGAATATGCGGGAACAGTTTTAAAGAGTGCCATGTAATCATTTAATTAAAAAACTAAATATCTGCAAGATTCTATTGTCAGAAAGTGAAGAATACGGCATTTGATGAATTCTTTCGATGTATTCGTTATTAAGGGTTTCACTGTATAAAATATAATATTCAAACACAGTTAAATTTAATATTTAATCTAAATTTGACATTAAAAAATCATTAAATAATCACAATAGATAAAACAGGGTTACCCGCAAAATATTATAATTCAATATCTCAACCTAAATAAACTATGTCGCAAAAAAAATGCATAACTATGCAATCTGTCTTTTGAAAAGTCTCATGTTATGTGGATAACCCTGCATACTTTATACAAAGTTAAATGCATTTTAGTTTTAATACCAGTATTGTGTTCTATAACCATTAATTTTTAATATACCTGAATTTCTAATTGTGCAAATATGTTCAAATACATAACTGTATAATTAGTATTTTTTGCTCCCTTGTCTGGAAAGAAACTCATCAGACATTACAACGATATTTTCTTAAAGTTTAAAGGAACAAGCTCACGTTTCAGTTCAATAGAAGCAGGAGAGGATTTGCTTGGCTCTTCTCCCGAAGGTTGCAGGTAATAGAAGGTTGGATTATTCCCGCGCGTAGAGGGTTAGATAAACCCTTCCCGTATGTGGGGTAGGAGAAGGTTGGCTGATTACTTACTGAAGGTTGGGTTGGAGAAGATTGAATTATTTCTATCCAAAGGTCATATGGAGAATATTTGTTTAACCCCTATAGAAGTCCAGGTTGGAGAAGGTTAATCTAACCACTCCCTAAATTCATAGTTGAATATCTAACCCCGACCGAAATTTGGGTTGGAGAAGGTTTATCTAACCTCTACCGAAGGTTGGGTTGGAGAAGGTTTATCTAACCCTTTCTAAAGGTCCGGTTGGAGAAGGTTTATATCTAACCCCTACCGAAGGTCGGGTTGGAGAAGGTTTATATCTAACCCCTACCGAAGGTTGGTTTGGAGAAGGTTTATCTAACCTCTATCGAAGGTCGGGTTGGAGAAGGTTTATCTAACCCCGACCGAAATTTGGGTTGGAGAAGGTTTATATCTAACCCCTACCGAAGGTCGGGTTGAAGAAGGTTTATCTAACCTCTACCGAAGGTCGGGTTGAAGAAGGTTTATCTAACCTCTACCGAAGGTTGGGTTGGAGAAGGTTTATCTAACTTCTATAACCGAAGGTTGGGTTGGAGAAAGTTTATCTAACCTCTACCGAAGGTCGGGTTGGAGAAGGTTTATCTAACCTCTACCGAAGGTCGGGTTGGAGAAGGTTGTGATTGGACTTTTATAGATTTCATTCGGCATCAAATTCCCAGCATTCTTAGCTCGGTTGGATTCAAACCTGGCATACTCACGCCGGTCATTTATCTAATAAAATATACGAAAATATAAAAATGATAATGATAGTGATAATGATAATGATAATGATAATGATAATGATAATGATAATGATAATGATAATGATAATGATAATGATAATGATAATGATAATGATAATGATAATCATAATGATAATGATAATGATAATCATAATGATAATGATAGTAATAACGATAATGATAATGATAATGATAATGATAATGAAAATGATAATAATAATGAAAACGATGATGATGACGATAGTGATGATATTAATATTGATAATGATGCTTACAATAACACTGATAACAATATTGATAATGATGATGATAATGATGATGATCATGATATTGGTTTTAATGATTTCTGAAATGATGATGATAGTATGATAATAAAAAAACCTGTTTTACCTCAATACAACATTTATAAAGGATTAATGTGAGAATACCAAGGATAAAAACTAAGACTCCAGCTCCGATCCCGAGGTGTAAACCTAAGGGTGCACATTCCTCCTTCTTTCCGTCCTTGGTTACAAGGTTCACTATTGCTTCTCCTTTAACCAGAAACTATATTTTTCATCAATTTTTTAGAACTTGTTAAAAAAAACAAAAAAAAATATCTAATAGAAATACTAGATAGTAGATCAGACTAGACTACACTATTTTTACTTTGACATCTAAAACGTGTTATAACAAAAAATTATTTTCTTTAAAATTTTGTTTTTGAAATTAAGCTTTTGGACCAAAATAAAGTTGAAAAAACTTTCTATTCTTTTTAAATTGATTAATTTTGCTCTGCATTGCCGTAGTAAATATTTAATAAGAGATTTAGAAATAAAATGTTCAATTATAAACAAGATTGGAAAAAGCAGAACTGTCGAGGTTTCGTGATATCTCAAATATTAGTTTTTTCCTCTATCATCCAGGTCTATGATGAAAGAGTAGGAACAACCGTTCTGGTTTTCATAGGAGCATACCTTCTCATAGGATCCAACCAGACCAGATATCTAAACAGCATAATATCAGATCAAACCAGACCAGATATCTAGTATAGTATCAAATCCAACCAGACCAGATATCTAGTATAATATCAAATCCAACCAGACCAGATATCTCGTATAGTATCAGATCTAATCAGACCAGATATCTAGTATAATATCAGATCCACCCAGACCAGATATTTAGTATAGTATCAGATCTAAGAGACCAGATATCTAGTATAATATCAGATCCACCTAGACCAGATATCTAGTATAATATCACATCCAACCAGACCAGATATCTAGTATAATATCAGATCTAATCAGACCAGATATCTAGTGTAATATCAGATCAAACCAGACCAGATATCTAGTATAATATCAGATCAAATCAGACCAGATATCTAGTATAATATCAGATCAACCCAGACCAGATATCTAGTATAGTATCAGATCTAATCGGACCAGATATCTAGTATAATATCAGATCTAATCAGACCGGATATCTAGTATAGTATCAGATCTAATCAGACCAGATATCTAGTATAATATCAGATCCACCCAGACCAGATATTTAGTATAGTATCAGATCTAAGAGACCAGATATCTAGTATAATATCTGATCCACCTAGACCAGATATCTAGTATAGTATCAGATCTAATCAGACCAGACATCTAGAATAGTATCAGATAAAACCAGACCAGATATCTAGTATAATATCAGATCCACCCAGAACAGATATCTAGTATAGTATCAGATCAAACAAGACCAGATATCTAGTATAGTATCAGATCCAACCAGACCAGACATCTAGTATAGTATCAGATCAAACCAGACCAGATATCTAGTATAGTATCAGATCTAATCAGACCAGATATCTAGTATAATATCAGATCCACCAAGACCAGATATCTAGTATAGTATCAGATCTAATCAGACCAGATATCTAGTATAGTATCAAATTTAATCAGACCAGATATCTAGTATAATATCAGATCAATCCAGACCAGACATCTAGTATAGTATCAGATCTAATCAGACCAGATATCTAGAAAAGTACAAAATCAACTCAGGCCAGATATCTGGGCGCAGTTTGATATCAGAATAAATTGGTTTAGACGTCTTGTTTTGTTGACATTTCATTAAGAAATCTTATCCGCGAAAAATCAAGGGGAGAAGTGGATTTATTAAAATCAGACTATGAAGGTGAGAGGTGGATTTATTAAAATCAGACTATGAAGGTGAGAGGTGGATTTATTAAAATCAGACTATGAAGGTGAGAGGTGGATGTGAGTTGAAGTTTACCTCAACTGTGGTTGACTGGAAAAAACAGTTAGAACAGTTCTCCTGGACCGAATTTAATGAGTTTGAGCTACGTCGCTGAACGTATACTTACTTCCGGTTCACATTTAAACCACTGATTCAAAGTAAAAGATGAAGGATGAATTTGAATCGGTGGTTCAAATGTGAGCCGGCGGCGGTAGGCAGTTCAAATTCATTAGATTCGGTCCCTGGTTGTTTGAATCTGGAAAATGTTGACATTCTACACAGTTCCTCACTTCTCCACATACTTCTACTCCTGCTGAAGCAGTTGGGTTCTTCTCGCAATATTTTCCAGTATACAGAGCACCAGACTCTATAGGTTTACAATTACATTTTCCACACAGGCATTCTCCGTTCCCGGAGCATACTTCTCCGTCATACGGAGATATACAGGATTCTTTCATTTCGTTGCAACCACAGGCTTCTCCGCTCCAACCGGAGTTACATGAACAGGATCCGCAAATACAGTTTCCGTTTCCACTGCATAGGTTTCCATCCTTATCCTTAGGACAGGTCCAGTTGTCACACTCACAGTGGATCCCGGAGACAAGTCCGAACCTGCTGGGTGAGCAACTACACACTCCACAGTTACAATCTCCTCTCCCACTACAGACTGGAGCTGAAGGTTCGGCTTTACATTGACCTTCTCCTTCATTCTCACTCTTACCATCGCACTCACATATCCGTCCGTAGTGACCAGGGTTACAAAAGCATTCTCCGCAAACCAACGCTCCCTCTCCAGAGCACTGAGCGGAAGGTTCAAGGGTTGAATTTGTCATACAAGGACAAGTACAGATGGGATATAAAGAAATAACCAAACGGTGTTCATTCAGCCCTATGGAATGTATCGGGACGGATTGAGGTTCTACATCACAGTCCTCTATATTAACCTCTACTGTAAAGTGTACAATGTCTCCGAGTTGTACATTAGTACAGACATTAGTTTGATAAACATCTCCTGTGGAACCACATGAGGAGAAGAACTTGAAGGTTGAACCTGATCCTGAGGTTTCAGCTCTCAATCTGATAGAGGTAGAGATCTCTTCATACTTGGTTTCAACAATATGAACTATATTGGATCCGTCCTTACTCAGGACATCCACAGAGGACCCTGGTATACGATCCACTAGAGCCTGAAACCAATAAATGAACTGATAACTCGCCTCAAACTCTAATTTTTTAATACTTTTTTTGTGACCTTTGTTATTTAAGAGGTGTAAAATATAAGGTTACAAATACATGATGATTGCAAATTTGAGACGAGTTTAGCGTAGAAATATACAATTTTCAAAAAACATTATGATCTAGAGCCAAATTAATGAATACTTGAAATACAAGCTGATAAGTTTGTTCTTTCCAATTTTAAGATATATATATTTTTATTAGAATGCATTTATATCCACCAATTAAAGTTTTATATATGTAGACTGTAGAGATAAGTTCATTTTTATAAAGTTTTTAAAAAGATTTCTGCGTCTCTCAAATTCTACTTCAAAATATTCCGCCTCAACCCTTGACCAGGTACTGAAAGAGAGTGTATTCGCGAAAAATGAAAGGGGGGCACTTGGATTTAACGGTTCTGTCAATATTCCAGAGAGCTATGACTTTTGATTGCAATTTGTTCTATTAAACATAATATTTTAAACTTTTTTCTCAAATACTTTTTGCCGGCATATACGTTTTGAATGAAAAATATTAAACAAACAAATCCGGAAGTTTAAAGATTTTTTAATTATAGACCAAAACGCGTTTGATTTAAAATAGAAGAAACCAAAATGAATCTAGCTCTGGTTAGTCCGGGGTGATAGGTTTACAGCGAAAAATAAGCGCCTTTGATCGCTACTAATCTTACTTCTATCTGTTCCGTCTATAAGGAGAAAATTGTTAAAAACGACTCATGTTGAAGAACGTAGCGTCCATACAAATTCAGAAAGTTACAACATTCAACTCGGATCGTAAAACAATCAATTTAATTCCAAACAAATCATTCAGATATTACAAACAATAGTCATCGATAATTTTTCGATGCATTCGTATATAGTTAATATTTCACTGGCTCTGGATTTTCGAACAATCCTGGAAAATATGAAAATGTCGTCTTTATTACCAAAAATCCTCGAAACAGGAATAAATGTTTATAAAAGTAGCTATTAGATCATAAAAAATATAAATATTATGAAATATCAACTATAATCAAATGCGTCGAAAAATGATCGATGATTATAGTTGTGAACCCCATAAAACTCTAGAATAGACGGACGAATTTCAGATTCAAATTGTGATTTTAAATAAACATTAAACATCGCAATTGTGCAGTGTACACAGATCCATTTCACTTAATTAGTTGATTTTCAACTACTGGTGAAACTATTTGCTTTTCATTAACTTCTAATACACATAAGATTGCTTAAATATCGTCTTCTTATTCCACAGCTTTATATGTCTCGCTCTAGTTGATAAATTAATGATTAAAGGGACTGTAAGCGGAATTTCAAGTGAATCTGCATGCAAAGATGGTAATGTTCGATTCACAACGGTACCCTGGAAACCTCTATCTGGTTAATAATATGGAAGATATTGTTATTTTTCTTAAAATCAAAATTATTTAGCTTTAATTCTTATTTTTAAATATTGTCATGCAGTAGAAATGCGCAAGTCACATTTGTAGAAAAATTGAAAAACAATTAGTTTTTGAAAATTAAAAACATTGATATCAAATTCATACTTTATCAGACAACGCATTTAAAGGCTTGATGTTGTGAATCGGGCGTTGCAATCTTTTCTTGAAGAGTCAGTTGAAATTACGGTTACAGTCCCTTTAATATCTAGATGTTTACCTGGTAAATACCCTTGTATCTTCCCTTTAATATCTAGATGTTTACCTGGTAAATACCCTTGTATCTTCCCTTTAATATCTAGATGTTTACCTGGTAAATACCCTTGTATCTTTCATCCACCGCGAAAAGTAGGATGAAAGAGTTTGCGTATGCTACACTGTTGATATGAGATATACTAGGATAGTCCTAATCAAATTTTCTTTTTCATTTTATAACACTCCAAAAAAAAACTAAGTTTTTAAAACCACGTCAAATTGAAGTGAATTTCACGTCAGATGTTTTCAGGTTTTCATTCATAACTCCTTTGATTGACCAGCTATGGAAAATAAGAAAACTGTTTTGAATTTCTAATATAACCATGTGGATACATTGCGTAAGATTTAATATAGAGGAGCTACGAGTTCACAAAGTCGTACCATTATTGTCCAGAGGCGTAGTCAGGGGAGCTATGGGTGCTAAGCCCCCCTGGATCAGTGAAATCTATAGAATTCATGGAGTTTTCGGACCACAACGGGGGCTGAGCCCCCCCCCCCCTGGAAAGAAAACTAAATGTAAGCCCCCCTGGACAAATTCCTGACTACGCCCCTGGTATTGTCACAAAAATTTGACCTTCTCCATCTGTGGAACATAATCATGAATTTCATTGTTTAAATTGGTGAATTTTCCGGGCAACTGCCATAAACCTTCTCTTGGTCATGTGAGGTGCCTCGATCGGTTCAGCCGTTTTTACGTTTATTGGATACAAACAAACAACAGACAAGCAAAGTATGGATTGCGTTTAATAACAAAACATTGAAAATTCATTAAAATTAACAATTTCCTAAAAATATATTGTTGTTATTAATGTCTTTGTTGATTTTGTATTTATTACTTCTGGTTGTCAATTCTAAGAAAATATTCCTGAAATTCTCCCATTGTGTAGTAGCCAGATCCATTCTCTACAAGTATTCAATTTAAAAACACAAAGAATTCTAAAGTTTCCTCGGGGTTACTTAAACAAATGATTCTTTCAAAAAAAAGAAGTTTATTTCAACAAATTTTTCAGGCAATCTTGTAGACTTAAACATTTTAAATTTCATATTCTCTTTTCTCTTTCTATTCTTTAGATTAAAATCTACAGAATTCTAGACACCAAAAAGAAAACTCTGCGCTGTCGTTCTACGATACTCTTTTAAAGGAATTGAGTCTTTGCCACAAGCTCAAATTTTCAAATCCCTATATATATGGAACTCAATATCATAAACCTGAAATATTTCTTACTAAGAATTCTGTTAGATAAAATATTCTAAGTTTGAAATATCAAAGTTTTACAAACCTTAAATTGCAGGATAGGAATAGAAAGTTTGCGGCAAAGACTTAATTCCTTTATTTTCAAAGAGATTTGAATTTGGGATTTTTTAAGACTCAATTCCTTTCCGGCTGAGGTCTCAAAATGAACTATATTCTATATCCTATCCTATCCTTGACGCAACTAATGACTAATTAAACATCAACCTGTGTTGTTGAGATGACACTTTCCATCATTAGGTTCCAGAACTCCTGGAGTAAAGTTATTGTATAGTGTGAGAGGTGTCAATTTTAGACCAGAGGATTCATATTTTACCCTTTTCAGAGCTGAAAACTTTAGAATAAAATATCCTTAATCCCGATTAAATAGATTGTCAACCTATTTGATCCCGATTACTTAATCTGAGTTTCCAATGTACACACTTTTGATTTTCATCTTAAACCGTTCTTTCTTGGATATCATATAGTATTGAAAAATTAAAAACCGTTTTTCTTAAATAAGAGATTCCCTCCCGTTTCTGTATATTAATCTTAAATGGCGCGCAAAATTTCAAATTTATCGGCTTCATATACGCGACTCTGATTGGTTGGATTTTATGCACTTTTCAGGATACAAGTACAAAATTAGGTTTGTCTCGATTTCAATAAAAAGAGAGGATCAAGCATTAATCTCAATATCCACCATTCTAAAGTTTTCAGCTCATGGTTTCATAAATGGCAAAGCAAGTGATTTTTCCTGAATGTTTTCAGAAGGTTTTCTGTTTCTTTATAAAAACGAATATATATTTTGTTGTTGTTTTTTTTTAACTTCAAGAGACTGTGGTTAAAATTTCAAGTGAGTCTCAATTTAAAGAGGAATATGCCCGATTTACACGATACCCTTTAAACCTTTATGTGATCTGATCAACAATGTGGAAGATATTGTCGGGTTTCATATTTTAAAAATAAAAATACCCATTTTTTAAAGATAAATCATGGATATCTCATTCATTATAGATCAGACAAAGCTTTTACGGGTACCGTTGTGAATCGAACATACCACCACTCTAAAAACTGCGAGTCCCTTGAAATTAGTCCCTTCAACATATTTGTAACTTCAGGTCGAATCTCGATATCCAATGTGTGCACTTTTAAATTTGAGGATAAATGATTGATCTCTCAATCAAAGTTATCTCTGGATGGGATATCGAGTTGAGGAATTAAATTAAAGAAAGGATTTGAGTCTTTGCCACAAACTCTGATCTTTTAATCCCTATACCTTTGCAACCCAATGCCGTAGACCTTAGATATTTAAAACTATGAATTTAGATCAAATATTCTAAGTTTGAAATATCCAAGGTTTACACCACCACGCAGGTTGCAAAGATATAGGGATTATAATATTTAAGTTTATATTTAATATTTTATAATAAACAACTCCGTAAGTTTATAATTAATAAATTATAAATTAATATAATTAAAGCTAGCTTTATTAATGCAAACCTGCCAGTTTTCCATCCAAAGCAAAATGGAAATCTCTATCCGTGAACAGAATAATGAGTTTTCTTGATGTATTTCTCCATCCTATCCTATCAGTACATGCCATCACCTGGAGTTACATTTAGATTAAAAGGGATTATTATTGTAAAAAAGTTGAGTCTTTGCCACAAACTCTGATTTTCTAATCCCTATATCTTTGCAACCCAATGTCGCAGACCTTAGATATTTCTAACTATGAATTTTATTAGATCAAATAATCTAAGTTTTAAATACAAAGAATTTCACTCAATAAGGATGAGAAAATTCGAGTTTGTGGCAAAGACTCAATTCTTTAGAAAATGCCATGAACGGCATCTTAGTTTCTGCACAAACGTTAATTAAGTAATTTCTATTTTCTATCGTGCAATATTTCTAAAAAAGTAACGGTCTGAATTTTAAAAGAATTGTATCCGGATTCTGGTGTACTGGGATACCCGGATTCTCGAATTACCGGATACCAAAAGTTTGGGATTATCTAACATTGACCTGCATGAGAGCGTCCAGGGAACCCTCGGGTTCATCAACATTTCCAGCTAGTGGAGCTTCCATTACAGCCTNCCCCCCACCCCTCCCCCCACCTCTACTGCCTCTCTTATGTTTTTTTTTCAAAATACATTTAGCTATTTTAATTTTATCACAATTTTACTTAAAAATATCTAAAAAGGAATGGAATCTTTGCTTCAAATTCAAATTTTCCAAAATCTAAATTTCTGCATTTCAAACTTCAATGATTTGGTTTTTTAGTTTCAAATATCTAAGGTCTATCCAATTGGGTTGCAAAGATATAGGTATTAGTAAATCATAGTTTGGGGCAAAGACTCAATTCCTTTCTTTTCACTCTGTAATTGTTAAAATAATTATCAAAGGTTGGCAACTTTTTTAATGTCCTCATGTTTTTTGGAACCATCTTGTACCTTACTAAACTGTTGGGCCGTTATATTTGCTAGGTTTTGCCGATGGTAGAAACTGTAGGGCGGAGCACAATCAGGGCTTCCTACTTCGCAGTTAAACTCCGGGATAGAGCTTGTAAACGGGGGTAGATTCTTCTCAACAAAACTTCCAAATCCTTCAATAAAAAATTAATAACAAAAAGTAGTTGAACTTGACATGAAAGTTAAACTATTTCTCTAGTGATGTCAAGAGTAGTTTAACTAGCCGTTCATAGATTAAGTATCTCTTGCTATTCATAATATTCTATTAGTCATGATTGTAAATATCAACCTTTTCCTGGGTATTTCAATGATTCATGTTTTGAATTTAAACTCATGTTAATGTTTTCCAATGAAACAAAACTCCTAAATGTACGCATTCGCGCAAAAATCTATCATCATTATGTCAATCATTTAATTTCAACTGAAGCATATAAAAAAGCTCATTAAAGTTCTAAAATAAACATGTCCAGGGCTACAGAAATGTACAAGTGAGTTAATAAGGTAAACCTAAAAGGTTTTATACGACACTTCAAATTCAAGCCAGCCTTTAAAGTTTATGTCAAATAGCTGTATAATGTCACAGATAAAAATCTTTATTTTGATAAAAAATTTGACAAATTTTAAGACAACTCACTCAACTACAATTGATAAAACAAGAAAAATCTTATTTTATTCAAACTAATACATTTTATTTGTGACCCAACATTTAACTACAGTTTTTTTTCATGATATGCCATTAACGATCTACATTGTTTATATTGTCAATATTGTCAAATTGTCAATAACCCTTTTAAAAAACAAAACAATGTTTTCTCCTTGAATATTGTCAAGCTGTAGAGAACTATTGTGCATCGTATTTTAAATGAAAATACCCTCGAAATTAAGTTATAAAGTTTCGTTAAAGGGACTGTTTTTAGAGCGGCGGGTTCGATTCACAAAAATACCCTTTAAATCTGTGTTTGATCAAGGATGATAAGATATCTTAAAATTTCTAACTAAAAATTGTTTATTTGTTAATTGTTGTTTCTGCATCAGAGAAGAAGAAGGGAATCATCATAATTTAACACTTTAAGCGAATGAAACCGATAGCTTCCTTGTTGTAATTCAGATGAAGGTTTAAATGTAGGGTCACTTGCAATTAAGTCTACAGTCCCTTTAAGTTACCAAAATAATTCCTCACCTATATTGACATCACTGGTCTTGTTCTTGATTGTAGCGATGATATCTCCACCAGCAGAGATTAGTTTATCCCGGGAGCTTCTCATGGACCAGGAGAGATCCATCAAGAAGTAGAGATCTACAGGATAGTTCTTAGCGTTGCCAATAGAGAAGGAGATATTCACAGGTTTACCAGGTCTAATCAGGGAAGGAGGTCAATATATAGCAGTTGAGTAGGTCAATATATAGTAGTTTAGGAGTTCAATATATAGCAGTTGAGGAGGTCAATATATAGCAGATTAGGAGGCCAATATATAGTAGTTTAGGAGTTCAATATATAACAGTTGAGGAGGTCAATATATAGCAGATTAGGAGACAATAAATAGTAGTTTAGGAGATCAATATAAAAGACTTTAGGAGGTCAATATATATATATACCAGTTTAAGAGGTCAATTTATAGAAGTCAAGTAGGTCAATGTATAGCAGTCAAGTAGGTCAATGTATGACAGTTTAGGAGGTCAATAAATAGCAGTTTAGGAGATCAATATTAAGCAGTTTAGAAGGTCAATATATAAAAGTTGAGAAGGTCAATATATAAAAGTTGAGAAGTTCAATATAGCGATTGAGGAAATCAATATAGAGCAGTTGAGGGGGTCAATTTATAGCAGTTGAGGAGATCAATATATAACAGTAAAGTAGGTCAAATTATAGCAGTTGAGGAGGTCAATATATAGCAGTTGAAGAGGTCAATATATAGCAGTTGAGGAGGTCAATATATATAGAATATATTTCCGAGATAAACGTCGCAACTAATATAATTGTTGAACCATGCAATATATTGCAGTGTAACGTGACAAATTGTATATATTGCACGGGACAGAAGAAGTTTTTCTAACAGTGTATATATAGAAGTTGAGGTTAATGTCAATATAGTATAGTTCTAGAGGTCAATATAGTAGTTTAGGAGTTTTATATAGTATTTTGTTGTCAATTCATTAGTTTTAGAGAAAATAAGTAGTATTTTTATACGCATAATTTTAATCATATATTTTTAATCATGAAGGTCAATATAACAGTTTAAAAAATGAAATAGTTTGGGAGGTCTGATTTTAGTTACTTTGAAGGTCAATATAGTAGTTTTTATTATTAATTCACACCTAAGGGAAGCTGATACTGCCTGAGGTTGGATCTTGACAAACTGGGCTTCATCCGAATCCATGGATAGAGAAAGATCCTCAGTTATCTCTATACTGCTCTCAACATCTACCAGAGAATCACAACTCAACCCAGCGCTCCTCTCGGAGCATCTTTAAACCATAATCAGTATATTTTACAAATAAACGAGACTGTTGATAAGATTTTTTCCGTTACAAAACTGCCCTAGTTCTCCAAAGCTTCATGATTGTTATCAACTGTAAAATTTGTATTATAAAACATGAACAAGAGTTCAAGAAATTACACAATATCTCACATAAATACGTTCCTGATTCAGAATTCATCTCTTGTAGCATCAGCTCTCCAATAGAGCTAGATAATTACAACGGACGGGAAGGCTAACACGTCATTTCGGCATAAAAAGCTTTAATCTTCTCGTGTTTTCATCCCAACCACCTCTAAATCTTTTTATTTCTTTTAGCTTATTAAACTCCCATTCTAAGATTTCAAATTCCGCAAACTATTTTCATATATAAATTTTTAAGCTTGTTTGTTTATTATTAGACTTGGATCGGTAAATGATGAAGAGAGCCTTCCCCCTCATGCCACAGATGGATCAGTGCATTGTAAACACATAAAAAGTTAACATTAATTTAACTACTAAGCTTTCAGGGAGCTTCGTGGCAATCTTTTATATTAACTTTTATTTTTTGCTCTTTCAGTAAGCATTTTCTCTTAATAAAAAATTTTTATTCTGAAACATAAACCTTCCCTTGGGTCATGAGCCATACAAAAATTTGGCCCGATCGTTTCAGCCATTTATACAGACAAAAAAAAACACAAGGAAATTATACATATTTGATATATATAGATGATTATATAATGATGATTCCTTGGTATTGTTGAGGCGAATAGAGAAGGATCGGAACACCAGACACACTCAGGGTCCTACTTTTCATAGGATATGCTTTATCCATCAGGGTTATAAAGATAAACAAAGAAATTGAATTTTCCACAAACTTTTTTAATCCTTATATCTATACCACCCATTGTTGCAGACCTAAGATATTTCAAACTATGAAATAAGTTTAATGAAATTAGTTAAGTTTGAAATATCAAAAGTTTAAACCATTAGGTTGAAAAGATATTGGGATTAGAAAAGGAATTGATTCTTTGCCACAAACTCTGAATTTCTGTTAGATCAAAAAACAAAATGATGTGACCACGTGTGATATAAAACTGCCTATACATAGTACATGGTCAAGGATTAAGTTATGAAAATTTAAGTTGGAATTTTTTGACTCCTTCTATGTCGAAGTCTTGGTCCCTTGGAACAAAATAAACCTGAATAAGATCTAGACATCGATAATTAAAAATCCTGCCTAAACCTAAAAATATCATAACTCAACCCTTGACTATGAAATGATTAATTATGTAATTATAAAAGTGAATTATCATCTCGCAAAAAAGTTGTTTGCCATTGAATATACTTAATTTGTGGTTTGGAATTTCTCTGGTAAGTTATTTTTTTAATTAAAAAAATCATTTGAACATCCTTCCTCCATACAATCTCCACAGGTTCTTCTGTCGGAGCACAACCCTAGTACTCCGGGTAGGATTAGGAGTAGGAGAAGCATTGTCTTCAAAACATTCGCTAGTTTTTATTAAATATTCTCAGTATAATTCTGCATTAAGAATATAGTTTACATAGATAGGATTGAGTATCTAGAGAAAGGTTGAGTATTTAGAGTTGGGTTGACTCTCAAGAGTAGGGTTCATTATCAGGAGTAGGGTTGAGTATCTTGAGTAGGGTTCAGTATTTTGAGTAGGGTTGAGTATCAGGAGTAGGGTTGAGTAACTAGAGTAGGGTTCAGTGTCCTAACTCCAGGATTCTATCTAGCTTTGCACAGTTTCGGGGGTTTTGCTGTGTTTTCCCTTCCGTCTAACCCAGGATTATCAATGTTTCCATCTTCAGACTCTCAGTTCAAACTTTTCGTAGAAACTCAAGTTATTAACTTTTTGCAGATACACAAATATCTGAATTTAATCTAACAATTCAGTTCTTAACGACTTGGTTCGAACAGACCAGAGTGAGTGTTCACTATACACGTATAGTAAAAGATGGATCACCAAATCTTTCCTCTTAGAAAGGATTGTAACTGAGTTTTTGCCATTAAATCAGATTTATCTCTATATCTTTAAAACCCCATATCGTAGAATTTTGATATCTTAAGCTATGAATTCTGTCAAATCAAATAGTCTAATTTTGAAAGGTTTTCAACAACGGGTTGCAGAGATATAGGGAATAGAAAATTTGAGTTTATGACATAAACTCAGTTCCTTTACACTTTCGGAATAGAATATTATAAAAGGCAGGAACAGGTATTGAAGAAAACTAGGTACTGAACTAAAACACTGATAGGAACTTGTATGTTTAGAAATAAAGTTTGGATGATAGATAGATAGATAGATAGATAGATAGATAGATAGGTAGATAGATAGATAGATAGATAGATAGATAGATAGATACATAGATAGGTGAATATATAAAGATAGTGAAGACAAACATTGTTATCAAGCTTCATTTTTACTTTATGTCTAATCATATACACTACCCACTACACTAAACTACACTACACTACACTACACTACACTACACTACACTACACTACACTACACTACACTACACTACACTACACTACACTACACTACACTACACTACACTACACTACACTACACTACACTACACTACACTACACTACACTACACTACACTACACTACACTACACTACACTACACTACACTACACTACACTACACTACACTACACTACACTACACTACACTANTATCTATCGATCTATCTATCGATCTATCTATCGATCTATCTATCGAGCTATCTATCGATCTATCTATCGATCTATCATCGATCTATTTATCTATGTATCATATTATCCTTGTATCATATTATCCTTGTATCATCCTTGTATTATATTATCCTTAAATCAAATTATCCTTGTATCAAATTATCCTATTGTAGAAATTAAATTTAACTGAAAATTTAAAGGAAAGATGAATGTATTTTATTTCGAAACTAAGATAATATCTACTGTAATTGTTTGTTTCGGTTGAACCCTAGGGAATTGCGCTGAACTGAGTTAGGTTCAAGTATCTCTGGATTGCAATGAATCCCGGGGGGGGGGAGAGGGCTTAACCAGGGGTGAATATACCTCCTGAAACTTTTTCCTCTAATACTTCATCATAATCATTATATTTATCAGGAAGAACAAATTTTAACTTTGGAAGATTGACCAAAAAATTTAAAATTTAGGTTTACTTACTTTTTATTTATTATAATTTTAAATCTTAGAATTAGAGAAAAATTGATCCTTGAATGTTTATTTGATTGTATCGTATATCAGGAGTTGGGTTGGGATGGGAACTCCGTCTCGAAGGACGGAGAAATTCTAGCATTTAACAATAGTTTCTGTGAGATTGAGGTTAGTTTGTGAGTAATCAGCATTCTTGACTTCAATTATATTCATAGATATATTTAATCCCGCAACTCATGCAGTTTCAAGTCTGACACTTTTAAAATTAAAAAAAAAATTGAGAAAAAAATGTTAAAAGACTGTGAAAAACTCACTGAAATCCTTTCTCGACGAGACAATGATGGTGATATCTTCGTTTTTCTTTCTGAAAATTAAAAATCTGCGTCAGTGGTTTTTTATCTGAAAAATCGGGCACAATTTATGTATTTTGCGGGGACCGGAGTGACTGCATGATTGGCAAGAAGGGTAGGCGAGCTGAGAGCATTGTATCATGGAGTAAAATATTTTGATTAATCTTATGCCACTATATTTTGTATTTGGGAGCAACTACGTTTCGAAACTTTTCACCAATATTATTAAACGTTTTTGCGCTCTAAATCAGCAATTATAAAAAGTAGAAAAATATTACTTTTAAAAAATGAATCCTAAAATTTGATTCTATTATTCTGCATATATAGCTCATCTATCCTTTCATTTAAACCTGTAACTTTAGCACTTTCCTCCTCGTCGGTTCAACCTAGACGTTGGATAGTTGATTCCTCATTGGTGCCAGTGATGTACAACTTTCCCTGAACCCACCATTTAAAAGGTTCGACCCGGAGTTTAATTCCAAAACCTGGGTTCAATAAGGCTTCATCTTAGACTCGACAGCTACCATTCCTTAGACTCGACAGCTGCCATTCCTTAGACTCGACAGCTGCCATTCCTTAGACTCGACAGCTGCCATTCCTTAGACTCGACAGCTGCCATTCCTTAGACTCGACAGCTGCCAATTCCTTAGACCGACAGCTACCATTCCTTAAACTCGACAGCTGCCATTCCTTAAACTCGACTCAACAGTTCGGCCCGATGAAAATAAAACCGACCTTGGTTGGTTTTAGTGGAGAATTAGTCTCAATGTTGAGTTTTATTGCAGTTCAAATCCCAAAATCTGCCAATCAAACCAGTGAAACCCCATCATGTACAATATTAAAACCAAGTCTGTAATGTGGAAATTTTGTCCTACACATCCTAAAGCATAAGTCTCATTGTTGGTTTACTCTTGAGCCTAATATAATCGAATATTTATAATCTAGGGCTCTGAATTATGGAGTAAAGATGTAAACCCTTGATTAGTGTATGCACCGTGAAGTATATACCGATTATATACCGATTTGAGCGCTATCTTCTACAAAAGTAATGCCCACTCGTTAAATCTACCAGTTTTTCAATATATCTCTGAAGCAGATATTTACGAGAGTATTGTTGAATGAAACTCCCGAGTTTCATTTTTTAGGTCTTGCCAATTGTGTCATCAATGGAATAATTAAAAAGATAGTCGACCAATCACAAGAAGTGACATTTCGAAACATAAAACTTATATCTTCAGAATTGTCTTAATGCATTTACGAAACCTTGGTTCTGATGCCGGGTTTTTGACGATCTGCCTTAAAGAAATTGAGTCTTTGCCACAAACTCTGATTTTATAATCACTATATCTTTGGAACCAAATGTTACAGACCTTAGATATTTCAAACTATGAATTCTGTTAAATCAAATAATCAGAGTTTGAAATATCAAAGGTTTACAACATCGGGTTCTAAAGATATTGGGGTTTAAATATTTGATTTGTTACAAAGACTCAATTCCTTTCGCGGGCTTTGTTCTGTCGCGATCAGAAAACAAAGTCAAAGTGAACTTAACATTATGCTGACATTTACTGACTAATATTCAGACATTAGATAAAACTTTACTAAATATATATTATGAAATTTCAGTTTGTTACTGTTTTAAATAAAAAAGAGACTTTTTTTGAAACGGAAATTGCTAAACTTGTATTAACTTTCAGATTAAAAAATGAAAAGAGTTCATTTTACTTTATAAAAAAACTCTATATAAAGGATATTACAGTGTGATACAGTGATAAATATATATATATATATATATTTAAAAAGAGAGATGACAGATATATTGAACGAAATCCAAACTGCGGAATTCAGAGAAGCATTCAATGAATTCGATAAGGTAATAGAGAGGAGTTAGGAAGGGTAAGCATTGACATTGACAGGGTAAACATAGACAGGGTAAAGAGAGATACAGTAAACATTGACAGGGTAAACTTAGACAGGATAAACATTGACAGGATAAACATTAACAGGGTAAGCATTGACATTGACAGGGTAAACATTGACAGGTTAAACATTGACAGGGTAAACTTAGACAGTATAAACATTGACAGGGTAAACATTGGCAGGGTAAACATAGACAGGGTAAACATAGACAGGGTAAAAATAGACAGGGTAAACACAGACAGGGCAAACATTGGCAGGGTAAACATTGGCAGGGTAAACATAGACAGGGTAAACATAGACAGGGTAAACATTAACAGGGTAAACATTAACAGGGTAAACATAGACAGGGTAAACATAGACAGGATAAACAGAGACAGGGTAATTTTGACAGGGTAAACAATGACAGGGTAAACATAGACAGAATAAACATAGACACGGTAAATTTGAAAGGGGTAAACATAGACAGGGTAAATTTGAAAGAGTAAAAATAGACAGGATAAACATATACAGGGTAATCATAGACAAGCTAAACATAGACAGGGTAAACATAGACATGGTAAACATAGACAGGGGAAATTTGACAGGAGAAACGTAGACAGTATGAATATATACAGGGTAAACATAGACAGGGTAAACATAGACAGGATAAGCATTGACAGGGTAAACATTGACAGGATAAACATTGGCAGGGTAAAAATAGACAGGGTAAAAATAGACAGGGTAAACATTGACAGGGTAAACATTGACATGATAAACATTGACAGGGTAAGCATTGACAGGGTAAACATTGACAGGGTAAACATTGACAGTGTAAACATAGACAGGGTAAACATTGACAGGGTAAACATTGACAGGGTAAACATTAACAGGGTAAACATTGACAGGGTAAACATAAACAGAAACATATACAGCGTAATCATAGACAGGGTAAACATAGACAGGGTAAACATAGACAGGATAATCACACACTTAGTAATCATAGACAGGGCAAACATAAACAGGGTAATCGTAGACAGAATATGGTAATTTGATAGATAAGTCATCTAATTATTATAGCCTTATAAGAATCAAAACAATGCTTTTTATGTCTACTAGCCTTAGAGGGCGCTTCGCGCCTATCTTCTAAATTAATTGTGAACATGTTTTCTTTGTGTACATCGTAAAACAAAACAAAAATAATTCGCGGATTTTCACAAAAAAATTCGTGGATTTTCAAAATTTTAAAAAATTTAATGAAGATCGAATTTGGATGGAGACAAATATATGAAATTTTGATCATTCATAAACCTTCCCTGGGGCTCCGTGAGGTCCCACAAAAAATTTGGGCCTGCTCGGTTCAGCCGTTTTGACGTTTATTGGATACAATCAAACAAACAAACATCAAAACACCCAAACAGACAAACAGACAGACAAGCCAAATTTATATATAGATATAAAAAATATCAAAGAAATCATATATCAAGATCCACTTATTTTATGGTGTATCGTAAACATCGAGGTTTGCCGCATAATGTCGCATCTTTTTCGTTTTTTATTAGATAAAGATTTAAAATGTCGTCTTACATGGGAAATTTTCCAGAAATGTGATTAGTGATAAAAAGAAAAACAACAAAAATACTATTAAAATGATAAAATGATGTTTGTTGAGGATGGAAGTGGAAGTATATCTACTAAAGAATTGGTTGGAGTAATGAGAAGTATAGGACAGAATCCTACAGAGGATGAAATTCTTGCTTTGGTTTTAGAGGCAGATACGAACGGAGACGGAACTATAGATTTCGAGGTATATCTCACATATAAGAATACATAGCAAGAGCGCATGAAATGTCGTCTGAAATTTATATAAAAATGTATGACAGCGGTTATGTTTCATCATTGGTCTACACAGAAAGAAAGCTGCTGAGATGTTCGCAGCTTGAAAGGGTTAAATACGATTTATAAAAATATATCCAAATATCATTGTAGAGTCATAAGTTTTTTAATAATTCTAAAGAAACTGCTTTTTATTTTTAATTCAAAGTATATTAATAGCTCTGAAATATGCAGGACACTATAAATTGGTATAGAAAAACTCGTTTGTATCAAGATGAAAAAATATATGAAAGGGTCTAATTATAAAAGAAGAAAAAAAAAAGAAATGAAATAGTCTTTATTAATGTTATACTGGGTGTCCAATGACATTACAATGGAAAGACGATTTAAAGAAAGTCTTTGATCTAATAATTCGTTCTTCACAACCAAATTTTAGAAATAAAATTCTTAAATTAAAAATGAAACATCACCATAGTTCTAACATTTCAAAAATTTGGTCTGCTTTCTTGTGCTTTCAAAATTACCTGAGATATTGATAATTTTGTTCATGTTGTTCATGTTGTTCATGTTGTTCATGTTGTTCATGTTGTTCATGTTGTTCATGTTGTTCATGTTGTTCATGTTGTTCATGCTGTTCATGTTGTTCATGTTGTTCATGCTGTTTATGTTGTTCATGTTGTTCATGTTGTTCATGTTGTTCATGTTGTTCATGTTGTTCATGTTGTTCATGTTGTTTATGCTATTCATGTTGTTCATGTTGTTCATACTGTTCATGTTGTTCATGTTGTTCATGCTGTTTATGTTGTTCATGTTGTTCATGTTGTTCATGTTGTTCATGCTCTTCATATTGTTCATGCTGTTTATGTTGTTCATGCTGTTTATGTTGTTCATGCTGTTCATTTTGTTCATGTTGTTCATGCTGTTCATGCTGTTCATGTTGTTCATGTTTTTCAGATTCAGACAATTTTGGTTTTATTTAATCCATTCAAATCTAAACGAAATTTTTAATAACTTCGGTATAATGTGAAAGAACGCAAAAGTCAACAACAAAATGCACAAAGACATTCAGGGTGGGTTTAACGGGACTGTAAGCGTAATCGGAAAATGTCGTCTCCTCAGTAATGGACAGTGAACTCCGTAAATTACGTCACTGATTACAGAGGCGAGTCTAGGGATTATAACGTCATTTATGGATTTCAATGTCCATTACATAATGAGACGACATTTTCCGTATATTGGATCACATCGAGCGTAAGTAACCTTAATAAACAATCTCGGGAAAAAAGACGACAAGGTGAGGAGAAGATGAGAACAAAGTGAAGAATTAAAAACTAAATATTTGAATTCAGGAATTCCTTGAAATGATGAAAAAACAGAGTTCAGAAACTGATCAGCTAGAGGTATCAAATATAACAATTCTAACTTTTTTTTACCATTTTATGAAAAGTTGGGTTTTGTATTTTGTTTAGGAGAAAATCATTTTTTTTTGACATTCTCATTTAGAATATTGAAGATATATTATAAGTATCATCAAAATGATTGTTTACAGTGGTAGGCGATTATAACAATACGATTTAGACGACTTTCGATTTCAATTTTGATTTATATCAAGCTGTTTAACTGCATACACATCATTATAGTCAAGTAAGGCTGTTAATTAAAAAAAACTTTTCTTTGATTATTTGTAAAATTTGAATTCGAAAATTGTATTGATATAATGCCACTATATTTTATTTTTAGGATCTCCGACATGCATTCCAGATCTTCGACAGAGACAAGGACGGATTCATTTCATTGGTTGAACTCCGAAGGATCACAACAACCCTAGGACAGGTACAGCTGGACAATTTGGAAGTAGAGGAAAACAGGTTTTATCCAGATCTTTTGTAAGAACAGAGAAGCGTGTATTTCATCAAGTGTAACTCCGCTGAATCTGGTTTATAAGACGGCTTTCCAAAGGAATTGAGTCAAGTTTCCTAAAACCACATGATATAAACCTTTGACATTTCAAACTTAGATTACTTGATCTAACAGAATTTATAGTTTGTAATATCTAAGGTCTACGACATTGGGTTTCAAATATATAGGGATTAGAAAATCAGCCTTTGTGGCAAAGACTCAACTCCTTTAGAACTCAATTATGTATTCTTTCATGGATATATCATGGAAATTTTCAAAGAGATTTATCAGCTGTAACTTTTACAAAATCCCTGATGGCATTTCTTTTTTGAAAAAAATGACGACAACATTAATCTTTATATTGGTTACTTCTGTATCTACAGGGTTACCCACAACAGATGAGACTTCAGAGACGATATTACGAAATTTCATCATTTTTTCTTACAATCATGGTTTCCTTCTAAAGAAATTGAGTTTTTGTCACAAANCCTACTGAACTGTAAAGATTATGTTCTCCTACTGAACTGTAAAGATTATGCTCTCCTACTGAACTGTAAAGATTATGTTCTCCTACTGAACTGTAAAGATTATGTTCTCCTACTGAACTGTAAAGATTATGTTCTCCTACTGAACTGTAAAGATTATTCTCTCCCACTGAAATGTAAAAATTATGTAAATATTAAACCTTCTCTAACCAGGATATTAATCCTTCTCCAGCCAGAATATTAATCCTTCTCCAGCCAGAATATTAATCCTTCTCCAGCCAGAATATTAATCCTTCTCCAGCCAGGATATTAAGCCTTTTCTTGTCTGAAAAAAAACTAAATTTTCCATGTTCAAATTATAAATAAAGCTTAACTGTGATGTTTTCCTTGTTTTGAGTGAATTGATTTTAGAGAATTTAATGAATTTAGAAAATGGCCAGGCTAGACAATGTACTAAAGCAGGATTAATGTTACGCATTAGTGTTTTGTAAGCAAGGTTATACACAACACAAGGAGGATCAGGAAGGAGCAACTAGGAACTATAGCAAGTGTTCCAGGCTTAGGTAAAACAACTGTAGTTTATTTGTGCTTACTGCTTAACTCTTTTAAGTTATAAATTATATACTTTCTATCTCTCTGGCATAAAGGATACCTTTCAGTTGTGCCATAAACGATTAACAACGTTTTTTTGGAGGAACAAGGAACAAGATTATCTAAATCATTTTTATCAGTTAGTCGAAAGTTAAAAAAAAATATTATTTTGCTCGTTTTTACAGTAGAAATAAAAGGAGTTACAAAAAATGTATAATTGCAACAAGCGGAATAAGAATCACACTTTATTTCTACTCTCCAGTATATTTTATATGAAATTCAACCCTTGCAAAAAAACTGAAATAGTCCCGAAGTTTTAATTTTAAAAAGTTATCTTCTAAATTGTCCTTGTATATTTTAAAATACGTATATCCTTAAAGGGAGTGACCGGCTATGTAAGGTAGTTAAACTGAGTATGCAGTGTTGTGGAAAACTTCTTTCGGATTCATTTGAGACATATTAAAATTTTTAAAGATCTGTAAATCATGAGTTTGAGCGCAAGTTCGACGTTCAAAACTTCTACTTTGGGGGTGGATACGTTTTCAGAATTAGTTTTTTGAAATTATTAAATACAACTACCTTACAAAGTTGGTCACTCCCTTTAAACTTAATCCAGCACCCGAAAAAGTTAGTTTTTTGAAACTGCGAAATATGATTAGGTTAACCTTCTCCGTTCTTTCCAAGACAATGGTTCTGTTTATTGTTTTATATTGTATATATTTTCTTTTTGTTCCTTGAGAAATATTAACAATATTTGTAAGTGAGACGTCAATGGTTTGACGCTTGTCAAAGTCCCGAATATTAGTTTTCTGAATAAACATGAAATGTCAAGTTCAACTAACTCTCGCAGTTCATTAAATCTAGGCCCAAATAAAAAATGTTGATTAGAGAGTATTAAATTGAAATGTTCATGATTTAGTGAAGATCGTGTCGTCAATGCGTAATTATTGCGTTTATTGTAAAAATTTTAGATTCACAGATTTTGGCGTTAAACTAGAAGGTCTGAACTCAGTAGATATTTCTAATTTAAAGCGCTTAACTTCATTTATTCCTGAATTAACTAAATCCGTTAGACTACAAAACATACAGATTAGTGCTCTATAAAAGGTTTTAAAATAATCTTGTGAAAATGAATATCAAAAGATGGTTAAGAACAAACTTTTATAAGATTTTTGTTATGTTATGTCTAAAAAACATCAGCATTGTATCTGAAAACTGCGGAAGACCCATCGTGATTTACATGGCACGTCTGTTTACTCAAAAGAGAAAGTAAAGATGAGTATAATAAGGAGTTTAACTCCAAAACACTAAACTGTGTAAATACTGCTAGACAAAAAAATCAAAGTTTGAAATATTAAAGGTTAACACCATCAGGTTGCAAAGTTATAGGGTAGGTGTTTATGAGCTTTGTTGCCTTGTAAATTGAATAGAATGTCACACAAACTATTAATTGTAATTGAATTAATTGTTTTATTTTCACGGTGAGGTTCTGAGGAAGGGGGGGGGGATATCTCTGGTTAATGTTCACATTTAATAAGATTTTACGCTTGGTAAGTATCTTTATTGTTGACAATTCTTCAGACATTAAAGGAAGTGTTCGCGAAAAAATATCAATAATAGTTTTGCTGTCATTTTCATATTACTTTTATTTATTTCTATCAGATGTTTCTGAAAAGCGAATACGATAGAAGCTGTCCACGTCGTGAACCGGTTTTTTATTTGATCCCTTTATTTAAATGAAAATAACTCTTTGTATTTTTTAAAATTATCAAGATAAACTTTTTTAAATCCGTTTTTATGTTTAAATCTGTCGCAAAAAGTTGATCGACATTATTTTCTGATGACCGAGTTTTAATTGTTTGGTTCGCTGAGTTTAGAAATCTAGGTTCTTCCTTCCATCCTGCTCCGGTTCCAGACATAAACACACAAACTATTTTCAGAGATGAGGATTTTAATTGTTTAAACAATTCTTGACCTAGAGAGTAAACTATCCGAGATTTAAGATCAAATATTATTCTCTAGGTGGTGATTAAAGCTTGAAGGTTGGGAGGGAGTACTGCTATTTGAAGAACTGTTAAGATAATGTTCAAAACAAGTGTTGGATCATCTTACAAAACTTGGATTATACACCAAGCTCAATAAAATTTTAGAAAAAAAGATTAAAAATTAACTTATTCAGTTAACGGTTCATTTATATGTAATGTAAATATGTATAAATTAACATTTTATTCATATTTTGTACATTATATAATTTAAAGGAAATGGATGCTTCATATCATAACATGATTAATACGGTTTGTAAAATACATCATGTATACAGGACGGATTGTATAACGTACCCTGTATACGGGACGGATTGTATAATGTATCCTTTATACAGGACGGATTGTATAATGTATCCTGTGTACGGGACGGATTGTATAATGTATCCTGTATACGGGACGGATTGTATAATGTATCTTGTATACGGGACGGATTGCAAAATGTATCATGTATACAGGACGGATTGTATAATGTATCCTGTATACGGGACGGATTTTATAATGTATCCTGTGTACGGGACGGATTGTATAATGTATCCTGTATACGGGACGGATTACAAAATGTATCATGTATACAGGACGGATTACAAAATGTAGCCTGTATGCGGGACGGATTGTATAATGTATCCTGTGTACGGGACGGATTTTATAATGTATCCTGTATACGGGACGGATTGTAAAATGTATCATGTATACGGGACGGATTGTATAATGTATCCTGTATACGGGACGGATTGTAAAATGTATCATGTATACGGGTTGTAAAATGTATCATGTATACGGGACGGATTGTATAATGTATCCTGTATACGGGACGGATTGTAAAATGTATCATGTATACGGGACGGATTGTAAAATGTATCCTGTATACGGGACGGATTGTATAATGTATCCTGTATACGGGACGGATTGTATAATGTATCCTGTATACGGGACGGATTGTATAATGTATCCTGTGTACGGGACGGATTGTAAAATGTATCCTGTAAACGGGACGGATTGTATAAAATATCCTGTATACGGGACGGATTGTATAATGTATCTTGTATACGGGACGGATTGTAAAATGTATCCTGTAAACGGGACGGATTGTATAAAATATCCTGTATACGGGACGGATTGTATAATATATCTGTGTCTGTATCTACCTGTGTGATCCATGAACTGCAGTATAATCCTAAACCTCTACAGTCAACACCTGCCGGACAGGGTTCCATCGATCCTGAGTATTCAACAGTTCAAATTCTTCCATCCAGCGCTCCACAATTTAACACCGACATAATCTCATCCGGAGAAATATCAGATTGTCCAACCCTGTCAACCTAGAACTCCTGGATCCATGAACTAAGTTTACTTGAGTCTATCCGTCCTAGGAAACTAATGACTCCTCGTGACAAGGAAACCTTAGTTGTGTCAAACGTCTCTCCAGGTTCACAAGGACCCGGAGAAACCAAGAGTTAAGAATATAATCCTCCCCCTCAACCCTCCAGGTGAATATTTCGCTAATTATTAGAATTATAAATATTGATAAAATGTTTAGTAGCGTGTCTCAATTTCATGATTAGAAAAATTAGAAAGTAAGTTCATAAATCTCAAAATATGTATTCTGTCAGATTGAATAATCTAAGTTTGAAATATCAACAGTTTATACCATCAGGTTGCAAAGATCCAGCGATGAGAAAATTAGAGTTTCTGGCAAAATCTCAATTCTTTTGTTCAGAATTATGATTTCTCACTAGATACAGAACTAAATCAAACTTTAAATTAAGTATGTATTTCAGAATAAACAATAAAAGTGAATAATGTAAATAAACGTGAGGGTGCATAAATTGTGGAAAAGGGTAATTTACATAAAATTTTGTGTTTGTGAATATATTTATAGGTTTGTTACTCTTTATCCACTTTTTCAACCGTAGTAGAAATCAAAGTAAAGTTTAGTTAAAGAATCACTTCAAATAAAAATGAATTGTAATTTAGCTTAAAATGTTTTTATTCAGAACGTCTCTTTCTGAAGATCTGTTGAATTTCTAATAAACAAACCATAACAATAAATTGATTTAAACTCTAAATTGATCTAATCCCTATAGCTTTGCAACCCAATACAGGCCTTAGATATTTTAAACTATGAAATCTAGATCAAATAGTCTAATTTTGAAATATCAAAGGTTTAAACAAATCAGGTTGGAGAGATATAGGGATTTAAAAGTTTGTGTTTGTAGCAAAGACTTAAATCCTAATGTCCTTTGTTCGTAACGTACAAACAAAAGTATATAATAATATAATATAATATATATTTTATAGTGTTAATTTAAGCTATCTTTATAGCTAATAGATTATGCTAAAGCAAAGTCAAGGAACACAAGTTTATTTAATCACATTTCAAATACTGTTTTATAAATCAATCACATTTGTTTTATTTTAAGATCAAAATAGAAAATGACAATTCTAAATCTATTGAATACCAATACAAGAAATACAAGAATTCAGTATCTGTTCTGTATCTGTATCTGTATCTATATCTGTATCTGTATCTGTATCTGTATCTGTATCTGTATCTGTATCTGTATCTGTATCTGTATCTGTATCTGTATCTGTGTCTGTATCTTTATCTGTATCTGTATCTGTATCTGTATCTGTGTCTGTGTCTGTATCTGTATATGTTTCTGTATCTGTATCTGTATCTGTATCTGTATCTGTATCTGTATCTGTATCTGTATCTGTATCTGTATCTGTATCTGTGTCTGTATCTTTATCTGTATGAAAACGCACTTACACATAATATGTATTATTTGTATCTGTATCTGTATCTGTATCTGTATCTGTATCTGTATCTGTATCTGTATCTGTATGAAAACGCACTTACACATAATATGTATTATTTTTTATAGAATTATAGATGCATTTCTATCTATCTTTGGTATAGATCAATATATCTATTTATCTATCTATGTTTTCATGATTCAATCATATGTATTAACATACCTATCGATCAATTATCTATTCATCTACCATCATATATCATATTTAGTTCAACTATCTATCTATCAGTATATCACAGCTCTCTACATTGTAAATCCGATCCTTGGCTTAGTAAGAAGGTTGTGTCAGAGTTTATGAGATATTTTCAGTTTCTCCGTCCTACTTTTTAACTCTTGAGAGATGGTTTCTCTACGTGTAGAGAGAAGCAGGGAGAGAGTCCGGGTTAGAGGTTGGTTGTTAGTACCCGGAAACTTGGGATAAACTCATGAGAATTCGTCAGACAACACTAATTATTCATCTCCATAGAATCTTTAAAAAAAATTTTTTTCTGATCCTTCTTCAGGACAGATCAGACAGACTAGGAACCTCTGGTGTTTCTTTCGATGAATCCCTGCATATATAGATCTTCATCAGTTTAGTTCTGCTATTTCTTCAGGAAAATATACAGTTTGTTTTTGCGCTCTTTTAGCACTCTGTGGTTTCCGGACTCTTCTTACAGTAAGTTAACGGAATTATGTAAAATAATTGTAATTATCAAAGAGCTTCACTCTAATTTTGTAATCCCTATATCTTTACAACCTGGAGGTGTACACCTTTGACATTTTAAACGTAGACTGTTTGATCTGGCAGAATTCATAGTTAAAAATATAAAAGGTCCACGATATCAGGTTGCGAAAAAATAGGAATTAGAAAATTTGGAAGAAAAAAATTGTTGTAAAATCTTGCTTCGAGATTTTGTCGGAAAAGCGAACCAAGATTCTGTTTGTCATTTCCTTTTCTTTCTGAAGTCTCATTTCCTTTTGTTATTTTACAAGCGCGTCAGTATTAAATCTCATGTTTTATTTGATAACTTTAATTTTGAAAGGCTAAACAGAGAAACCGACATTTCAGGAACATGCCAGAAACTCAAATTTTACAATCCTTATATTTTTACATCCTGAGGGTGTAAACCTTTGATATTTTAAACTTATTTACATTATTCATGGTTCGAAATATAAAAATAGTTTGAGATATCGGAATAGAAATAAATATGGATTAAGAAATCAAAGTTTGTGACGAGAACTCAGTTCCAATAATTTCCCCATCTGACTGAGATCTAGACAGTAGACAGCTCTGACAGTAAGTCATCACATTTTCAGACAGCGTCGGTTTTAAAGTGTCGCATTGCCTGGCCTTTGGTTTTACCTCACCAACTCACATACTTTATTGTAGCTCTAGACATATACATTCATTTACAAATTGCAACGCACTTGTTTCCAGCTAAGTTTAAAAGGGGTAATTGCCAAAATACTGCTCGTGTTTGGATTCAGTGATCTGAAGATAGTAAAAGAAAGACCCTAAACTTAGAGACTGAACTATAGTTCTGTTCTTGGATTTGTTTAAAAACGATCTCTAGTTCTGTTAAGATCGTGTTACTCATGTAGAAAGATGTTTTGTGAAAAAATTTGGACCAAAAACAGTCCCTTTTTTTGTTCATTTTTTCTTTTTTTTTGGGGGGGGCGGGGTGTTAAATGAGGTTTCACAGAGAGGCCAGCAGAAGAAGTTTAACTGCTGTGCACAGTTCAACCAATTCTCTCTATATATAAATTACCATCTTATTAAATTGAAAGCAATTAGGCAAAAAGTTTATATTTTGTAAATTGAATCTCAGTTTTGTGAAGTGTAGGTTTATACAATATACATACAGTTGTATGAAAGGTGTGAATTTACCAAAGCAAAAGATAAGGTTTCTGAAATATTTCACACCGGTATGAGTATTTACATATGAATTATGAATGTGTATGTATGGTATGTAAGTATTTATTTATGATATATGTTATACAAGAAGTTTAATTTACTTCGCATGGCATGTTTATAAAATTAATTTCACAGTTGGTTTGCAAAACTACTGACGACCATAGCTAATTATAGATTTATGGTATTATCCCAAATCTACCCGGCCTGGCTGTATCCCCTGTATTTGGTTAAATTCTACCCGGCCTGGTTGTATCCCGGCCGTATTTGGTTAAATTCTACCCGGCCTGGCTGTATCCCCTGTATTTGGTTAAATTCTACCCGGCCTGGCTGTATCCCCTGTATTTGGTTAAATTCTGCCCGGCCTGGCTGTATCCCCCGTATTTGGTTAAATTCTGCCCAGCCTGGCTGTATCCCCCGTATTTGGTTAAATTCTACCCGGCCTGGCTGTATCCCCTGTATTTGGTTAAATTCTACCCGGCCTGGCTGTATCCCCCATATTTGGTTAAATTCTGCCTGGCCTGGCTGTATCCCCCGTATTTGGTTAAATTCTACCCGGCCTGGCTGTATCCCCCGTATTTGGTTAAATTCTACCTGGCCTGGCTGTATCCCCCGTATTTGGTTAATTTCTGCCCGGCCTGGCTTTATCCTCCGTATTTGGTTAAATTCTACCCGGCCTGGCTTTATCCCCCGTATTTGGTTAAATTCTGCCCAGCCTGGCTTTAGAAAAATAACGATATCTTTCAAATTACTGATTAAAAGAAAAATACAGGGTAACGTTATAAATTTTTAAATGGGAGTTCAATTAAAATTACAAGAAAAGTCCATTTTAAACATGTGAAACTAGTTATTATTAATTTATAAGTTTTTAACCAAGAAATGGCGGGGAACATATACAAATGGTATTTAGTGTATTAGTTTATGGTTTATAATTACCACCAAACTGTATTATGTGTTGTCTATGGTCAGATACAAGGTGGGGCGTATCATCTCATTTTCTCTTTTTGATACAAAATACTTGTTTTTTACCTTAGAATTCCACGTTATTGCTAATTTGATAATCTAACACTTTAAGCGATTGGGAGATTTTTTGTCATCCCCCCAATCAAAGTTTG